TTAAAACCTTCATTAGGCAATGTTAGCTAACTTGCTTTTCTCCTGCTAACTAACAAGTGTAGCTAGCTAGCTAGCTTCGCTAGCTGTTATTGCTACAATGCTATTTGTGACCTTTATTTTTGCAATGCTATTTGCCACTAAAACTGGTGCTGTCCTAGTCAATGTTACACGTCACAACAACCAGTAGCCATTAGCCAGGAGCAATGAAAGATAGCAGAGAAGGGAGGCCTGTCAAAAGGTTGTTAGCATTGATACAGACTTATGCTGTATATGCTGAGCCTGGATTAGCCATGCATGCTGTCATAGCATAAAATATCTTAATGAGAATTTATTCAGCAGTAACAGCAGGCAGCTAAGCATGTTCCTGCCAAGTTATGGACATCCGCCATGTCTGCTCCAAGTCACACCGACCTCAGTCCACCACACCCCCATTCTCGCCAAATCACCAGCAACTTCTTTTACCATCACTGTGACTCTTTTATACTGTAATTATCAGTTTACAGCACCTTTTTTAATCAGCTTATCCACTTCAAGATTTTTAAGTCATTTTAGAATCACCGACAAATCTGTTCATCATCTGAACTTTATTTACTGCCTTCTACATTCTTAAAAATGATGGTTCTTTAAGGGTTCTTCATTAAAGACAGTGGTTCTATATAGAAACATAAACACTCAAAGAACCATTTGCATGCATAAATGGATCTTTGCATGGTGACGGTGGTTCTTTTGATGGAGAACATGTTGTATATGGTTTTATATAGAGCCTTTTGAAAGTGGCTCCATACAGGCCCAAAAAGGGTTCTACTGCTGTTACAATGTCAAGCTTGTACAACAGAAGAACCCTTTTTGGTGCTATAAAGAATCATATACAACACATTCTTCATCAATCTAAAGAACTATTTCACCATGCAAAGAACCCCTTAAGCATGCAAGTGCTTCTTTCATCTTTCATGGTTCTATATAGAACTACTGTTTTTACTAAAGAACCTTTAAGAACCATCGTTTTTAAGAGGGTAGCTACACATGACTTGAAACATAAAGATGTAGAGTACTAACATTAATAATAAAATCACTATATGCATGTATCTGCAACAAAATTGGTTTTATATGATCAAAAACATTGATTTCGAACATTTGTATGATAGTGTATATAGTATAAAAGCACTCAGAGAGATTTATAAATATTGTAAACTGTTTATTGTCTAATCTCTGGTAACATTTTAACTGTCTGGCACTGCCTCGCTCTTATCCATTAACTCTTACAAGGTGTTACACAATCCAAGTACAACAGCTAAGACAAAAAAAGTGAGTGTATGTGATCTGTAATGGAAAATACAATGAAATTTGATCCTGTACACTCTAGAAATAAAGGTATAAAGGTATGAAACTGTCACTGGGGCACATTTACATTGTTTGTACCTTGATGAACAAATAATGTACCTGCACAGAACCTTTATTTCTAAGCCATGCTTACAAAAGAACTGTCATTTTGTAAATATTAACTTTTTAGTCATAGAAAGAATTTGTTTTTTAGTCATAAACTTACTTTGAAATCAGGCCTAATTTCTGTGAAAAACATACGAGAACATTTTATCGCCATGCACATCTTCCTCCAGCTGAATGTCGCACTATATACTGTAAAAGGGCCTTCAAATTCTCACCACGGACTCATATAGGCCTATAGTGCTGTGCAAAAGGCAGAGACCATCCTTGATTTATTTAATTACCAGTCAAAATGGCCAATAAGTACAAGTTGTTTTTTTTTTCAGGAGACATTTTTGATGAGATTAGATACAAGAAAGGGCAACGTTAAAGGAAAATGAGTGAAAAAAACAGGAGTTTCCAAAACTGCAGTTCAAAAAATGATTAACACATACAACGAAAACAACCGTGCAAGACCTGGTAGACCATCAACACTGTCCCCATCAGATAAACAGCACTTAAAGCTTTCGCCTTTGACAGAGAGGAGAAAATCAAGCTGCTTCAGATCTGAAAACATCCACAGTCCATCCTTCTACTACAAGAAGACAGCTCAGCGCTATGAGTCTGAAAGGATGTGTAGCTGTCAAGAAGTTGTCACTGAGTGAAGGAAATAGTTGAAAAAGAAGAAAAGAGAAGCTGCTGGTCTTCTCAGAACAATGGACTGACCACCCCAGAGTCCAGACCTCAACATCACTGAATGTGTTTGGGATTATTTGGATCGTGCAAAGCAAAAAAAATGCAACCAACTTCTAAAACTGAACTTCGGAGCGGATCTGAAAGTGAGTCTCCCGAAAAGAATGGAAGCTGGAATAAAGGCAAAACGTGGACACAATAAATACTGAACAAAATAGATTATATAAAGTTATATATTGCTGCTGTTGGAATACATTTTTCAGTTTTTCACATAATTTGAAAGTACCTGTTGTCCTTTACATTGTGTGTAAATTTCATGATGAATGAACCAAACGAAACAGCCCAAAATGACTTGGAAAAAAGTCTGGTTCCATTGACGTACATTAAAAGTAAAGTAGGTTTTTTTCCTCTTCCTATAAAGTTATCATTTTGGAGATACAAGGTTTTCTTTCGACAACAGCAGTATATTAAGTATATTAAGTTTTATTATGTTTCCTGATTTTTTCTTGACATTGAAGAACAAAAAAACTTGTACTTAAGGGTCATTTTGACTGGAAATTAAACAAATAAAGGGTGGTCTCAGATATTTGCCCAGTACTAGGCCTAAATGAATAACCTTATTTAAAATTTGACATTTTTGAGTAGATATAACTCACCATGCACATGCAAGTGGTGAACTGTTATACTTTTACTGTATATTTTAACATTACACAACTTATGAACCCTTCAGGTCATGCCAGTAAGGTTATATTTGATTTGACTGAAATTCTCTGCACTGCATACTTCTGTGGCTTTGACCAAGTGGTCAGTTTGACTGAGCTAATTTTAACTTTTTGCTATTAATAGCTCACGACAGAAGACCTTGCAAGTCGCCCCCAAAAAGAAATGTGTGTGTTTGCACTGATAAGCGCTGTGTCACAAGGTAGGGTCACTCAGCGCAGTTCAGTGGGACACCGTGGGTCAGTGTCCAATTACACGTGTCAATTTAACTCACATTTCAGTGCTGATGGAGGAAAAGGAGATTTTAGTGTTAGTCAGTTGTACATGAATAAGACACAATTCTAGAACACATTTCACACATTTTAATCACGTAAATATGAAGTATAATTTCTTTTAGCGTAAAATCAATTAGTAGTAAATTACTAATGCATGAGTTGATAAAGTATGTCGTTATCAAATCTGAATAAAAAAACCTGCAGGTGATCACTGCCTTTTTTGGAATGTCTTACAGAGTTTATTATCTCTCAGCTGGTCCCATGACTGGAATAAAAGTAGGTAATGAAAGCGTCTATCAATACAGCTTATCAACCACAGAGTAAAGATACGATAGAGCGAGACGGAGTGGAGTGATAAAACATTATAAAATATTATGATAAAATTTCTCTCTCTATGAATATGTGCAGTGCTATGCAAAAGGCTCAGGTACCTAAGCACATTGCTTATAACCCTTGATCTCAGTAGTTTTGGCTTAAAAACTATATATATATATATATATATATATATATATATATATATATATATATATGATTAGAATAAATACCACTAAACATAAATACAGTAAAAAATAAACAAGAATATCTTGTTTTGAAAAAGTATACAAAGCTTGGTTTGGGTTTTCTAATTCCCAGCCATATGCAAAAATGCACACAGCACTGCGCAAAAGTTTTGGCACCCGAGAAAATGCCATGTAAAGCATTTATTTGCTTAGGAAAACATTGATTTTAGAGTAAATACAAGTAAACAATACTCTGTGTTAGCTTATTTAGTGTTAGCTTACATATTCCTAGTCCATACAGTGACCAGAGTGCAATGGCGAGGAGTCAGTTGTATTTAAAATGTCTTTTATCTATCATGGCTTCGTTAGGCTTTTATGAATATCATCAACTAAAAAGTTGGATTATGCTGCATTTTTTTATGCTAATTCTCAACTCATTAGCCTCTCAGATCTGATATTCAGAGGTTTGGGAGTAAGGCCCAGAGGTGATAATGATGAGAATCAAAGTCATGCTGTTATCATAGAACATTTATTCAGTTAGATGTTGAAAAATCCAGTTTTTATGGTATATTTCATGCCAACTTTGGACTCTTTAACCTCTTACAACAGATACTTCAAAGTTTGGACCTTAAATTGCAACATCGTTGCATCAGCTACAACTGTTTGTCCAGCAAACAAAGGCCCCTAAATTTAGAAAGGGCTCAGGTTCAATGTTCCGAGTTTCTAAAATTAGACCCATTCACCAGCTTCTTTATCGAAAACCGCAAGCTCATTTTACAATGAAATAAAGGCCCAAATCTGCAATGAGTCCAATATGGTAATATTGGAAAAATATGATTACAAAGACATTTTGTAGGCTAGATTATTGTTGCACATGGCAAATGATATTGGAAAGCTACAATTACAAAGACCTTTTGTAGGCTAGATTGTTGTTAATGTGCATAGCAAATTATATTGGAAAACTATGATTACAAAGACATAGTTTATGTGTAGTTTAGTAGCTGCACCACTGTCAGAATAGAAGTTGCATTGTTGTAGATCAGTTTGCATGAGTGCAGTAATGCACTGACTTTAGTATGAAGCAATGTTAACAATGAATTCAATTTGATTATATTTGAGTTACACTGGATTAGAAATACATTACACCAGATACAATTACTGCCAAAAGGAAGAAAACTGAAGAAAACTGTTCAGTGCAGACAATCCGGAGCAATATAATCCATTATTAACATTGATACATAGTTGAAGGCCATTTCCAAATTACAAGTGGCCGTGTTGTATGTCCTTGACTCCTAAGCTGATGGGTTAGGTGGTGGGAGGGGTGTGTGTACAGAGAGCGTCGAGCTCTCGGACTGCCCATCCTTTCTCTGGGCATAAAAAGAGAGCAGCGCCTGTCTGGAACTCAAACTCACACCAGCTCACTAACTCGCATACAAAGAAAACAGAAAACGCTCGCAAAGATGCCGTGCCCTGCCACCATCCGCAAGCAGATGACAAGAATGCCAAGCGCTTACCAGTCAGTCTTGGAGAAATTTTTGGTGGTAAGAATGTTTGACCTTAGTGAGATTTTCAGATGCACTGAAAGATGTGTTACACTGGATGTACCTGATTTAAACGTGTCAGTCATTTCCACTTCAGTGAACTGTATTATATCGGCTGTGAAGTATTGCCAAAAGTAAGTAAACTGAAAGACAAATCCATGTAAATAATGTAGTTTGTTTATGTGGAAATGATGTACACATTTGAATCTTTTTCAGTGTAGGGTGTAAATACCACATTTTCAGTGTAATCTGTGGTGACTGAAAAACTGAAAAGGGGTAAGGGAAAAGAAACAGGTGATAGTATTACACTATATATTTTACCAGTATGATATTTATACAAACCTTATACTTTGCCCCAGCTTGAGAATTTTCATATTCATTGTGATGAATCTAATTTGAAGAAGAATTTCACTAACTTTTACAAAATGCGGCATAATTTAGTCGTTGAAATGTTAATAAAGTCTTTCAAAGTGGTTAATGTGAAATGGTTTGCTGTAGAGAAACTTACCTCCTCAGATTTCTTTACAGTGATGGTGATAGGAATCACTGTTGTGATATCTGCAATGGAAATATGGCCATTTTACGTACTATACAAAACCACCAGTGAATCTACATGTGTTCTTGTTTGTAAATGTAATGTTGATAATACTAAAATAGTGGTTAATTGAAAACATGTTTTCTTGGACACTATTTAGCTTAGAATGCCCTGCATGTACGTTTTAGGCGTTTAAAACTTATCTCACAACTGTTGTAAAGCTATAAAACCCTGGAGGAAATTCGCCTTTTTGTGTAAAAACTTGAGGTAGCTTTTGAAGACATTGAACTCTTCAGACATTTTTTTTCCATCATCACTGCTGTGAACAATTCTGACTATGTTTGCATTTGAATAACTTGATTATGCAGAAAATTCGAAAAAAATTGGTGGAGTTCCCCTTTAACACAGTGGGCAAGAATGTTCAAATCATGTGAAAATGTTCTCTCTATCTCTCTTTCTGCAGGTGGACCAAATCCTCTCAGAGTTTCTCTTGACTAAAGAAGATTTAAAAGACGTGATGAGGAGAATGCAGAGAGAGATGGACAGAGGGCTGCGTTTGGAGACCCATGATGAGGCCAGCGTTAAAATGCTGCCCACTTATGTCCGCTCTACACCCGAAGGCTCCGGTGAGTGCTACTGCCCATAAAACTTTCATAACAGCTATACTCAGGCCTAATTACTACCTGGCAACCCGCTTTACCACAACAGTCATTCATTTAATCACTTAAACTTCAGGCTTAACCTTTTTAAAGTTTAGAGAACCTTTTTAAGTGTAATATTCATTTTCTGCTATGCACTGAAACTAATATGTGAGTTATGTAGTTATTAAGGTCCATATGCTGTCCTGTTCAGTTTAAGGGGTTAACTTAAAGTAAGTCAGGGTCTAGACTGAGTCACTTTGTACATGCCAAGCAATGACCAGTCCAAACACTGCTTATCAAAGTTAATAATTGTGGTTGGTGTTCACTAAAATAACATACAGTAGCTATTACTCTGATACAGAGTCAGTTCAAGGACAGGAGGCAAGGCCTAACCTAATAAAACTACTGGATTAAGAAATTAAGACATGCTAAGTAATGTTTTTAGAAATAAATGACACATTTTCCCCCTTACCTCACATGCAGTCAGTCTACCTTGCCATGTTTTGGATGCTAGAACCAAACATTATAGTCCAGCACAGCTGGTTACCAGCAAAACCAGCATATGTTGTGTTTGGGATGCTGGTATGATGGTCAGCCAGGACCTCCTGACCAGCAATGGTCTGAGCTGTTTTTTTCCAGCAGAGCTAAAAGGCTAATGTAGCTAACAAGCCATGGAAGCTAACACCACACTAATTAGCATGGTGCTAACTACTTGCCTAAATCACCACATTTGCCTCAAATTTTGAGTGGGTAAGTCATTTCAAATTGAGTTGCGTTTGTGGTTGGTTTCTGACACTGTATCACCTACAATTATACACACATAATGGCCAAAAGTATATTAGCATAGCTAGGAACAGTAGCAGTAGCCATTTTGAAGCCTGAATTGTGTCTGTGTTTTTGTCCAAAATGGAAATGACAAAAATGAGTGTAGCATTTTCTGTTTTATACGAGTTGATTTCTGGATATTCAGTAAGAGCTGCGGTTGTTTCTGTGCTTCCAGAGGTGGGAGATTTCCTGGCACTGGACTTGGGTGGCACCAACTTCCGTGTGATGCTGGTCAAAGTGGGTGAAGATGAGGAGAGAGGCTGGAAGGTGGAGACAAAGCATCACATGTACTCCATCCCCGAGGACGCCATGACCGGAACTGCAGAAATGGTGAGCGCGTGAAGACAAGTTTTTGTGTTACGGCTTGGAGTTTCATAAAACAATGAATATTTACTGTCATTAGACTGGATTTGGACATTGATGATTTCAGCTTCATGGTATTTTAATGAGGCTAATGAGACTCTTTTATTCTCTCGCTCCCATTTTCTCCGTGTTCAGCTTTTCGACTACATCGCCGAGTGCATATCCGACTTCTTGGACAAGCACCACATCAAACATAAGAAGCTTCCTCTGGGTTTCACCTTCTCTTTTCCAGTCCGCCATGAGGACTTAGACAAGGTCAGTTGCTGCTTTTAAAAGGCACATGTAAAAGTACATCATTCTTAAAAAAGGGCCAGATTCTTAAATAAAATACCTAAATTCTATGGACATTTATATGTCAGTTGATTAAAGTATAACATAGGATGGGGTGCAAAGGGTTAAACCAAATCTTTAAAAAGAATTTTTTTTTTTTACCCTCTTTTTGGAAATAAAAGTGTTTGATTTACTATGCAAAAGTGCTGAAGTTTAAAAATATACTTTCCGGAATAAAGGGAGTTTGGACTGTTTTGGTACACATGAACATCAAGTGAAAATAAATAAAATGCAAGAAAATGTAGGAAATGTGAAATATGGGGCTTTTAACCACTTGGAGTCTGCCATGTTGGACTGTTTGCATCTGGACTCATTTTAGTTTGATAATGTTTATGTATATTAGTCTTAACTCTTCATGACTTATTTGTTTTCCAACAGGGAATTCTACTCAACTGGACAAAAGGGTTCAAGGCCTCTGGAGCTGAAGGCAATAATGTCGTTGGCCTGCTCAGAGATGCCATCAAAAGGAGAGGGGTCAGTGTATAAGAGTTAATACTGGATCATTTGCTAAGCTTTTTTGATGTTGTTTTCCGGTGGCAATGGCAATAACCTTCATGATATCACTTTACTAATGAAGACTTTAAAAAAATGTCGCTCTGCAGGACTTTGAAATGGACGTGGTTGCCATGGTGAATGATACAGTGGCCACTATGATCTCCTGTTACTATGAGGACCGGAGCTGTGAGGTTGGCATGATAGTGGGTAAGGAGATAATACCATCCAGCACCATGCACACTTTATAGCACGCACATAAACTTTATGACAGGAACATGGGATATATTGAAGCAGGAAAAAACAGGTCATGAAGCCATTATGTCATTTTCTCTAATGTGGAATTCTCTCTCTCTCTCTCGCTATCTTTCTCGTTCCCTTTCTCTGTCTCTCAGGAACGGGGTGTAATGCGTGTTATATGGAGGAGATGCGTACAGTGGAGCTGGTGGAAGGGGACGAGGGGCGTATGTGTGTGAATACGGAGTGGGGTGCCTTTGGAGAAAACGGAGAGTTGGAGGACTTCCGCCTGGAATATGACCGAGTGGTGGATGAGTCATCGCTCAACCCAGGACACCAGCTGTGAGTACCTCCCCCCTACACTATGTCCTCAAAGGAACCACACTAAAAATGAAAGAGACACAGTGGACTTTGCAGAAATCACACAGCTCAGAAAATGTTCAAATCTGCCAATAAAATCAACAGATACAAGATTTCTCCACTTCTTTAGGGTTGTCACAAATACTCAGTTAAAATGGATAACTTGATTAAAACAATCACTGCTTAAAATTTACACCCTCTATGAATCGCCATAGTGATTAGTTTTGCTATTGAATGATAAATAGAGTATCTGCAGGTCATTATTAAGCACTCAAGTCAGCTTTTTGAGCATCATAGAAAAACAGGAAACAGTAGATCTCACAAGTAATATTATGTACATGTATTTGTTGTTGCAATGTGCATGTAAGTGTAGTAAAAGTGTATCTGAAGTAAAAGGTTCTTGATTTAGGCTGACGAGCTTGGCAGACAGCTAACAGGCTAACAGGATGCTCCAGTAATATTCACTTACGCTTTGCTAAAGGAAATTCACTGCAAAAAGCAACATACAAAGTAAAGAAAATGCCACTTGAAAGCTTTTACAAATGTTCCAAATATCTGTGCTTAGGTGGAGCTGGCCTAAGTAGTACTAACGTTAGCTTGGTGCTAATATAACATTGAAATCCCCATAGAAGCCAAGCTAGTGGAAAATAGCATTATTGTGACAAGATTATGAAGTGACCGGCTCAAAGCAACATCAACGATTTCTCAAAAAATTCTCCATGTGGCAATAAAATGATGAAATGATCACCAAATTACGCTGTTAGTAACATTATCAATAGTGAAGGCCCTAAATTTGTATAGCACTCATATCAATTATTCATAACATATAAAGCTGGAGAATTCTAGCATCATATTAGAATCATTTTATACATGCACGTAAAGCAAAACTGGTTTTATATAAATGAAAACATTGATTCCAAACTTGCCTGTCACTCTGTACAATTGCTGGTGCTTAGAAACCCACGCAGCTGCCACTTTATACACTTTGTAGCACCAGTGACGTCAATACATTCTATGCCGTCACCCACATCACCATCAGCCTGTCTCTATACCTCAGCGCAAACAAAGCCTTTCCTTGAAACCCCTGTGGTTCTGATGGCACTGACCACGGCTGTTCACTTTTTGTTTTCATCACGTTTCTCGTGACCAACAGTTAGCGCAGACTTCCCATCGTTTGGTGCTCATGTTCCAAAGTTTGATTGAGATTTGCCTCCAAAGGCCAACCTGAGGCTCTTGTGCGGTCTCCAGGTGACAGGGTTGTTTTTCTGAGAATGCGGAGGTAGCCACGTCAGTGCCGGACCGCGCTCTGAGAGATTAATGGCCACCGCAGCAGATCATTAGCGATGTGGCTAGCTTAATGGCTGTTTACAGTGCACTGTTAAAATTGCTTACCTTCTACAGGGTTAAAGTGGATTAAACTTGAGCAAATTTAACTCCTTAAGGGTTCATTTAACACCAGCGGGTTACAGTGCGGATGCTAGCAGATGCAGTTTAACTCACTGGGCTAGTGGGCTTTTAGGCAAGCAATGAAGTCGACATTAGCTCCCACATTTTGTGACAGTACAGCATCTTTCATTGTTTCATATAATTTCCATCCATCACTCACTGAATTATGAAAAATTATCAAGAACTGTCACACAAGCATCCCTTTAGACCAAGTAAATGTTAAAGCTGTGGTCAGTAGCCATGTTTTAGTGCTAGGTTCTTTCAATTTTAGCGCTAAAACACTTTTCAGCTTTCATCGATGGCCAGTCATTCAAGAATTCAGTTCTCTGTAGACATGTAAAAGTTACTGTACATTACTGTATAGATTTTTAACCCTCTTCTGCTTCCTATGTTCCCAGGTATGAGAAACTCATTGGTGGGAAGTACATGGGGGAGCTGGTGCGGCTGGTTTTGATGAAGCTGGTGAACGAAGGCCTGCTCTTCAATGGCGAAGCTTCAGACATGCTGAGGACACGGGGCAGCTTTGAGACCCGCTTCGTCTCCCAGATCGAAAGGTACGTGAAAACTCTAAGCATAAATCATAACAAAACTTCAGCTAAAGCTATTATAGAAAAAAATCTCTACAATGATGTACAGTAGCTAGAACAATGTGTTGTTTTCCTTCAGTGACACAGGGGACAGGAAGCAGATCTATAACATCCTGAGCTCTCTGGGCGTCCTGCCGTCTGAGCTGGACTGTGATATTGTGCATCTGGCCTGTGAGAGCGTGTCCACACGTGCCGCTAACATGTGTGCGGCCGGGCTGGCCGGGGTCATCAATCTGATGAGGGAGCGCCGCTGCCAGGAGGAGCTGAAGATAACCGTGGGAGTGGACGGCTCTGTCTACAAGCTCCACCCACGGTGAGGAGAGGGCGGAGAAAGGGAAAACGTGGGGAAGGAAGGATGGGTTATGGCAGGGGTGCGCAACTCCGGTCCTGGACAGATGGTGTCCAGCACAGTTTAGTGATTTTCCCAACACAAACACACCTTATTACACTTGGCTGTTAATTGGCAGGTTTAGTGGGTGTGCTTGAGTAGGGAAACCTGCAAACGGTGCTGGACACCAGCCCTCCAGGACCGGAGTTGTGTTTAATTTGGATGCAATTCCTTAGTAACTAATTCAACACATCATTTACCAGATTTACTTTTAAACATTTACTAAATGTACAAGTGTGACTGGACGAACTATTTACACAGTTTGTTTACACTGGAAAAAACGCAGCGCAGACAATCTAGTCACCAGCAAAACCAGCATATGTTATGTTCTGGATACTGGTCAACCAGCATGACCATGCTGGGTGACCAGCTAAACCAGCATAACCCAGCTTAGATCAGCATGTAATTCGCTAAGGTCTAAGCTGTTTTTATTCCAGCAGTGTGTTGTGTACATGCTTGGAAATCTGCTATGTTTACAAGTCTTGATTTCAGTGCTGATTCACAAATCTCTTCTTTCAGTTTCAAGGAGCGCTTCCACAAGGTTGTCTGGGAGCTGACCCCAAACTGCGAGATCTCCTTCATCCAGTCTGAGGAAGGCAGCGGCCGAGGAGCTGCGCTTATCTCTGCAGTGGCCTGCAAGAAGGCCGCTTGCATGATAACGCCATGAGAGACAATGCTGTGAGATGCCCCAAACACTAGATGGCGCTCCAGGCTCACTGCTAACCTGCAAGGTTGAGGATGCTCACCTGGAGTGGCCCTGTTAAGCCTCCCTTCGCACAGAAATGTGCATTTCTCCAGAACGGGGCTTTGCTGTGTGGAACACATGGCTTTTGTCACACTTTTGGCACTTAAGTGTTCACTGCACAGTCCACACAATTGTACATGTTTGAAGTCCAAAATGTCATTTACGCAGGCTAAACTTTCAGAAGCTGTGAATAGGCTATACTTTACACGCAAAGGATGTTACTAATTATGTACCTGTACATATCTTTAATAGCAATATGATTTTCTTTGGAGAAATATCTTATCATGGACAATGTAGATGTTGCTTTGTGTTTAACACACTGTCTTTATTGTATTGTGGTGACTCTTACTGTCTTAATAAGTTGGAGAAGGAGGATTGATGGCACTGGAAACAGGCAACAGCATAGCTGACACTTGTAAAGGGTTTATTACTGATTAATGCTTATTTTATTTATTACATTTGAAAATGTGTTTGTATCCTGTGGTAGGCTTAACTTAATTTTAATGTTACATAGGAGGAATAACTACTCATGTAAAATGCTTAATTTCTGTAAATAAAGTTGCTGTAATGTAAAGTTCATGTCTCAGAACTGGAATTCTGGGGGAAAGAGGGATGAGCCAGAGGGACAGGGAGAGACTGGTGCTGGTTATTCTGCAGTTCAAACATGCAAGGTATTAAAATAGCAAACAGTTAAAAATAAACCACTGAAATTCTAACTGTGCTCTAAGGACCTCCAATTCAAAGGCTTTTAGCTAGAAACAGAAACCTCCTACAGACCTTTCCTAAGCTTTGGGGCAATAAACTTTATTTCAGTCACATTTGGCGTCGAACACTAGATGGTGCTAGATGGCGCTCCAGATTTTCATGTTTTTGGCTTGGACATATCAAAATGTCAGATATAAAGAAGTTGGATTTACTGCTATGTTACATGCCGACTGTTCATGAAATAGCCTTTTCACTGTATGTCCCAAGTTCACTTGATGTTAAACAAAGTGAGGCCACATGACATCACTAGGGCTAAGTGGTCAATATTCTCCGACTCCACAGCACATAGGACGGTTTTCTGCAGAGATCATTTAGATAAAATGACTTTGTTTCTTCACACACTGACGAATAAGTATTAATATTATTCTTTCACATATAATAGACCAGTCAGATGCTAACAGAGTCACATGCAGAGGTCACTGAGAGCAGAGAAAGTTCAACAGAGAGCAGAAGCCATCTTCACAGAGGAGCTTTCTGTTTTGAAATATGTATGAAAAGGAATTAAAACACATTAAATCCACAGATCAACAGAATTGTATAATCAAGGGTACTTCATGATGGCATATATATGGGTCAATAACATGATATGCATTTTTTGAGTCCATTATTTTCCCCAAAAAAACTTAAAAAATGCATGATGTATAAAAGTAAAAGAGGCAACACCTTTACGTGGAACAATTTTCAGTGCATACATATTGAAATCGCCTCCAAAAGTTTAAAATGTCAGGGGTTGCAACCATCTAACCATGTATGTTGATTAAGTACACTATAAGAACAGGTAATTTAGCTATATACAATTTCAAAATAAAATGGTTTGTCATGGTTTTATGTTTGATCACATTAAAATAAACACATTTTTGATTACGATAGAGGCGATTTCTTAAAAACCCCATTCATTTTTGCCACAGAGATTTTGAGCTCAGACCCGGAATTCCAAATATGGGCGTATTGCTAACGCAATTTCAGTGGCTGGCGCTGTCTCAGAGGAGCTCGGGAGGCGTGGCCATGCAAGTGCTTTAGGCAGGCTATGGCGTACCTATGGTAACAAGCAGTAAATTAAAGAGACATGGACCAGAGCCGGTTTATGAGAAGCCTGGCCGCTTCCTATTCCCCCCGTTATATCAAAAACAGGACTGCTGAACAGCAGAGGGCGCCCGCGAGCGAGTCCTCAATGAATGGGAGTGAATGGAGCTCAACGGCTAAAAACGAACAGTTAAAATAGTTTCTAATCACTGAACCAGAACTTTTCTTTAATTTTAGAAAGTAGAAGGATGTATTTCACTAAAAAAACAAAGAAATCTTACCTATATATTTCCTTTTGTCTACAGCAAACGGGTTTTGGGCAGCAGAAGGTGAGAATTACTGCTAGAGCGTGATGATTGATAGGCGAGCGGAGCAGCTCATTGGCTGTTAGCGCTCACTGACGTCATGGACATACATGAGGCGCCGTTTTAAACTCCTATAACTCGAGTTTAAAAGCTCTTAAAAATATAACAGCAGTGTTAAAATGTTTTATGATGTTCAGTGTTAAGGAAATGTTTGTATTCTTTTACATTCAAAATGTTTAAGCATTTATAAACTATGATTTTGCTCAAATGCTCCATATCAACCCATTCGTTTTGGACTCTCTCGGGAGCGCCCTCTAGTGTTTGAGAAAAACGGAAGACATTGCAGAGTGGTAATTCACCTCTCTACAAGTCCTCTGCATGGATCACTGTAGTCGTGTCGTCATTTTGTAGTCGTAGCTTTAGCTCGCATGTAGCAATATTAGCATTATAGCTCTTTAACGATCTCATAATTCAGATGATCCAGGGGTATTCAGGAGAAGAATGTTCTCAGGGCAAAACGTATCGGGTTCTGAACATTTTTATTTAACACAGGGGGCGATAGAGGCGATTTTTTCAAAAACCCTGTTCATTCTGCCCATAGAGAAATGGAGCTCAGACCCGGAGTTCCTAATATGGGCATAGCGAGGACTACAGTGGTCTATTGGCCACATATACCCTCCAACAGCTTCACATTTATCCTGTATTTGAGTCGCAGTGTTAGAACCTGCAGTCTTTCAGCCTTCCCCGAGAACCAAGAGCGCCAAACCACCTCAGACACAGAGGATGACACAGCGAGGCCAGTAGCTTCCAGAATAACCAACACTAGAACACAGTGCTTAACCAGGTTCTTAAATAACGCTCTTACGCCAGCAGATGGCGCTGTAGACTAAGACAAATCACTTCCACCAGCGATTCCCTCTGACCTGCAGGTTGTCCCAAACGGAAATCTGATATATGGTCATATATGCACATATATCATGAAGAGTCAGGCATACATTTCAAAACATATGTACAGTGTACCTATATGTAAGTGTCAAATATTGGATAGATGAGTGAACACATACATGCTAAAAATGTATGTATATATATATATATATATATATATATATATATATATATATAATACACTGAAAGTGTTTTTAAAGCAAACAAATTAAAATGAAATACAAAAAATATAAATAACATAAAGCTAGCATATACAATAATACAGTAATATATTCCATCCATTTATGAATATATGTGTATATATATATATATATATATATATATATATATATATATATGTGTGTGTGTGTGTGTGTGTGTGTGGTGTGTGTTTATATGTTGGTATATGAGTGAAAATATTTAAATGTATTCAAATTATATACATATATACACACACAGACACATAAATATGGAATTCCGCCAGCAGAACCTGTCTTAATTATGACGTCATAATTGAGGCCCCGCCCCTTCATTATTGACGGGATCTATATATTGGAGATACAAAGAAAACATCCCTCATTTTCGTCGTAGCGATTTACTGAAGCACTGCTGCAGATCGTCTGTTCATAAGGTCAGTGACTTCACCTGAGTTTCAGAGAGAGAGAGAGATGGATGTGAAGGAGAGGAGAGCCAGATCTATGGAGGCTCTGAGAGAGAGCACACTGGCAGAACTGAAAACCTTTCACTCAGTGTGGGCTTTGAACGAGGAGGAGAGGGCGGAGCTTCAGCATCTCCGCCACAAGCACAGGAAGACCCTCATGAAGACCTCCAGGGCTGAGAGGACGGAGCGGCGGGAGGAAGTGAGGGATGAGGATGAAATGAAGAGGCTGGAGGCAGAGATGATGGAGAACTGCGATCTTCATGCCAAAATGAGGCTGCGCCCAAAAAAGGCCAGAACCCCTCTTTTCTACCTCACTGGAGACGTATTGAGGAAACATTCGGCAGAAGAGGAGCAGGAGAGTGAACTGGAGGCCCAGCTTAGAGCCCAGAAATGGAAGAAGAGGGCAGAGCGACAGTTCACCAGGGAAAGAGGGAGGAAAGGAAAAGAAGATGACACATTCGAGGAGATGGTGAGCACAGATTGTTGTTTATTTACTACACCTACCTTGTACCTGCACTCAGTGGCTCATTGGCCTTTTATCAGGTACATTCTGCTATATTTATATATATACTATATAACTTAAAAGTACAGTTATGGGGTTCAAAATCACAACTGACTGGTGGGGGTGAATACGCACACTCTTAGAAAGATGGTTCTTTATAGGTTCTTCAGTAAAGACAGTAGTACTTATAGAACCATGAACACTCAAAGAACCATTTACATGTTCTTTGCATGGTGAAATCGTTCTTCAGATTGATGGAGAATGTGCTGTATATGGTTCTACATGCCACTTAAAAGGGTTCTTCTATTGTTAGAAATTTGGCATTGTAATATTAGGATCCCTTATCACACTTAAAAATGTTCTATATTGAACCATATACAACACATTCTCCATCAACCTAAAGAACCATTTCACCATGCAAAGAATAAGCATGCAAATAGTTCTTTGAATGTTCATGGTTCTATAAAGAACCACTGTCTTTACTAAAGAAGACAGCAGACAGTTCTGGGCTAATTCTGGCCTACATTCGTGAGTGTTAATTCACTTCAGGATAGATATTAGGCATGTGGGCCAGAAATGGGCCAGATGCTGGACAGCTCTGTTTTGTTTAGATGTATATAAACATGTATTTGTATATATACATGCAATTTGTAGTGTTCAGTTTATCAGCCACCTACTACTCTGTCCATCCTATGGATTAACATAAGACCACCGCTGACCAGACGTCATTTGGATGGGGGACCATTCTCACAGTACTGGCACCAGCATGGTTGTGGCATATTGGTGTGTTATGCTCCTCAGTGTCACTGCTGGGTTGAGGGTAGTCCGTCAACCAAAAATATCCATTTAACAGTGGTCCTGTGGTCAGAAACTGGCCACCACTAAAGAGAACATATGATTATTGCACATAGAAATATAGCTTTAGTCTATAGAGGTGGACCAACAATACAGGAGTGTCTTACAAAGTGGCCAATAAGTATATATACTATGACCATTTAGATCAAGCAATGGGGCAAATGTTCAGAATATTGTTTATATGGTTATTTGTGCCTCTCCTCTTTATAAGCAAAAGCTGGTCAGGCCACAGTGGTGGTCAGATATTGAGCTACTGCACTCTTAATGATGAACTGACTGAAGTTAACATGATTAAAGAAATTCCCATTTGAATTTCAGACTGAAACACTGAGCTCTAGGAGAGAGGGCGAGCTTCTGCTGGAGAGAGAAGGACTGCGAGACCAGCTGAAGGCAGTGAGACAAAGAATGAGGGAGAGAGAGAAGAGTGAGAGACAACTGCAAAAGGAAGAAGAGAGGCAGAGAAAGAGAGAGAAAGAGAGCTTTTGGGAAAGACAGAAGGAGATTGAACAAAAGTTCCTAGAAAGACAGAGAAAGATGAACATGGAGTTTGTAGAGAGAGAGCAGGAGTGGAAGAAAGAGAGAGAGGCCATGAAAAAGAGAGAGGAACAACACAAGAGAAGGCAAAAAGAGATGGAGAAGAGACTGAACGAGATGCAGGAAAGGATTGAAGGACTGAGAAAGGAGGAGGAAAAGTGCAAAGAGAGGAAGAAGAAAGGCCTCAGAAAAACTGTCCTTGGTTGGATGGACAGGTTCTTGAAAGCGGTCAGGAGCTTCAGAGCAGTGTGAGAGGTGACGAGACTTATCAGAATGATCCACTCAGCCTGACCTCCACAAAGAATTAATCTGAAAAACAGAGTAACAGAATCACCTCAGAGAACCAAGCAGCTCCAGAGTTTCTGACGCTGACACTGAAATACTGACATATGATTTTTTTCTTTTAGAGCTCCAGAGACGGATTCAGTGGATAAGAGCGTGTTTCTCCCACTGTTCCACCACCGTCACCACTCCAGAAGACTCACCTGTGTTTCAGAGGGATCAGCCCAGCTCTCCTACACCTACCACCTCAATGCCCCGTGCTAATTTTCCTTCTTTAAACCTCCAGCCCCCCTTAATGCAATAAAGTATGAATGAATTCATTAAAGCGTCCAGAAAATTGCTGTAAATACCAGAGAAATCAATGACAACTAAGCAACCAACAATACACCAGTAATATGCATAATTATACGGTACATATTTACTGTAAGCTCTTCAAATATAAGTCAGCTCAACTTAAAAGTACAGTTATGGGGTTCAAACTCACAACCTCCTGGTACAGTGAATATGTACACTCTTAAAAAGATGGTTCTTCATAGGTTCTTCAGTAAAGACAGTAGTTCTTATAAAACCATAAACACTCAAAGAACCATCTGCATGCGTATACAGTTCTTTGCATGGTGAAATGTTTTTTTTTTTTTTATAGAATAGGCCATTGCACCAGCATTGGCCAGCTCCTTAAAGTGCATATTTTAGGTGGCCCATGCACTGATGTCAATCAAAATCTGTAACAGTGTACAGTGGTGGATTGTCCTCCACTTGAAGCTGCTGTTTGATGTGGCTAATGATACATTCCTGTCCCGATGTATCTTCCCTTGGTTTACTGTGACTTTTGTCACGTTATTTGATGTATTATACATATCAGAGCCGCCGATCAACGACTTTGCACTCTCAGAATAAAATGTACAAAACTGTGACTGGGCCTGTACCCCTCCTTCACTGGGGTGGTACCTTTAGTCAGGGAACATAACCGTACCATAATCCATTGAAATTATATTTTCTAAGTTGCATTGACTCCACACCCCTGTCTCGCCTCCAGGCTTTTTATTTTATTGTTTTTTTCTTAAAACAAGATTATGAAAAGACACAAATATATACATTTCCACTGGGGGAAAAAACTTATTTAATGTACACAGTTGGACCTTAAAACCACTGTTGTACCTTTGAGGGAACATTTACACTGTTTTTACCTTCATTAATGAAAATGTACCTGCACAGAACCTTTATGTGGGAGGAAACCTAAAGATTTGTTACTAGTACTTTGTAAGTCTAAATGAAAACGTAAGGAGTTTTTCTCTCTTGGAAATGTAATTGAGTTAGGGGGTTTCGGGAATCACTGAGTAAATTACAAATCTTTTAAAATAATAATACATTTTAATAAAAAAAGTAAACTCACTCATTTTTCCACCCTTGTAAAATGCAGCTACCGTTTTGAGAAAACGGTAACAGTACAGGGACACCAGACACAGAAGGGAAAAAGGGAAAATATATTATTTAAGAGCTCTTACAATCTTTTCAAGAAGAATAAAAAGCTTTGCAGCCTTTTTTGTTGTAGGCAATATTAGGCATGTTTTTTTAAGATGACTTGTTTAAACGATAATAAGCGGAACATATGTGCAGCTCCGGAGCTTTCACCCGAAACAGCTACACCTGCGGACTGTTTACCTGCGGTTACTATGGAGACGGAGTGAGGCCAGTAAAGGAAGCGCGACGCCTCAGGACGGTTAAAATCCGCCGCAGTGGATGAAGAACCTGCATTAAATCAGCCCTGGTGAGTCCAGCAGCTCAGGGTTTGGGTCACTCGCTTACTGCCCAGTTTTTCCAGCAATAATTTGAGCTGCTAATGGGTCATTTAATGATCGGTGCTGAGCGGTCACTGCTCTTCAGGAGACGGACGGAAAACACAGACATGCGGGCGTGTCCCGATCCGCGTCTCTGTGCACTCTTGCGTTCTTGTTCCCTTCAGCGTGCGAGTTCAGGACTACAGTCCTGAAGAGCGGTCCAGTTAAAGGGGAACTCCACCGATTTTTCTCAATTTTTTGTATAATTAAATGGTTAATGTGTCAACAGAGTCGTTCAGAGTGGTTTGGTGTGAAACGCTCTGTTCTAGAGAAACTTACAGAGTCGGAATTGTGCACGGTGGTGCTGATAGGAACCAGACGTCCACCTCTAAAAGCTCCCTCACAAAATGTTATGCCATTAAATGGTTATGAATACTCAGCCTGATGTCTGAGACATTGTTTTACGGTAGTTTTGCGATAAAGTTTAGGCCTAAAACGTATTTTAATCAATTTATTTTCATCTGTTCATGGTGGAGGGTGGGTTTTCATGAAGGGTGTTCTAACTCTTCTTTCAGAACACTATTTTACCATCATCATCATTACATATAAATACTCAGAGGACACATGTAGGTTCACTGGTGGATTTTGGTCCCCTGGTTCGTGTCACCACCACTGCAAAGAATTCGAGTCACTAGTTTTTCTACAATGAAACATTCATTTTGGACTCGCTCGGGAGCGCCCTCTAGTGTTTGAGAAACCCAGAAGACATTACACATTGCTTCAGAATGATTCAAAACTGCAAAGCAGTTGCTATGTCCAGTGCAATTTGTTAAGCTTTGGGGTTCACTTTTATTTGTTTACGGTTTAAATAAAACCACAAGGATGCAAGAAATCAGCACCTTTGGATTCACACTGTATAATAAGAACATTTTCATTGGTATTTTCATAGCTGTGCCCCAGGATTATACTGAAGAGCATTTGTGTGAGATTGTTTGTTATCCAGGTTGCTGGACTGTTTAGTAGTATTAAGTGAAGGTGACAGTTCTTTTGAAAGATGACTGATTTTTAAGATACCTCAAATACCGGTGACTGAAGAACCCCAGTGCTGAGCACAGATACAATACCCAGATTTGCCACTGCTTGACCCAAACAAGTATCCAAAATGTGCGCTTGACGTGTTGTTTTCTGACACTCTGAAGGCTCATCACTGTCTGAACATAGATAGTCCCATAATTTGTTATGAGTTAAACCTGTAACTGTAGTGGTTGTGAAGCCGCTTTACTGAAAAATAACTTTAAAATAACATTTATGCCTGTAAACAAAGAGCCAGTCTCTACCAGCACAAAACAAATGACTAAATGTGTAATGACACCTTTTCGGCCTACTAAATGTTAGTTTACGGCCGGTGAAATCAGCTGAGCCTGGAGTGTTGCTCAACAACAAGTACAGAGCACATCTCTAATTCTTATAGGCGCCTTCTTCTTTTGTTCTTGCAAGTTCATTCTTGCAAGGTAACTTGGAACGTTTCTGGGATATGGGTTTGTCCTTTACGTTCTTGGCACAGAGGTACACCTCTAGAAGGAGCCGGCGATATGGCAAAAAATTCTATGTTTAGGTTTTGTGAGATTTAATAAGTTGGAATCAAACAGAACCTGTAGTGCCACATATAAAATACAATAATAATAATAATAATAATAGTAATAATAATAATACTAAATTTACAACTACAGTGTTTTTTTATTTAATGTTTTGCCAAGTGTGCTGCACTACATCCAGTTAAACCTGCCTAAATGTGCTCACTTTGTAATGGAACATGTAGTTGGTCAGTGTTTTTTTTAAGTACTGACCATATCCACAATATGCTCAGAAAATCATACTGTGACAAAATTAATTATGATACCAATAAAATATCATCATATTGCCCATCCTTAACCTCTAGTGTTAAAGCAGTGTCCATCCATCCATCCATCATCTAAACCGCTTATCCTTCTGGGTCGTGGTTAAAGAAGTGTCATCAAATCAAAATGAACAGACAAAAAAAAAGACAAATTAGCAGCTGTTTTACTGAAACTTTTCTCACTTATTTTTCTGAGATGTTTGGTGACTATAAGCCGCTTTAGGATGTTGCTAAGAATGTTTCATTTTGGTGTGTTTTCACCCCAGAGGAGAAATATGTCTAAATTCAGTCAGCACCACCATATATCACTAGATATTTTTATTATCTTTATTAGAGAGGAAGAAATGATCCCTCACTGCCCACATGTGTAAACATCTTTCCCTTCTGTTCTCTCTCTGGATGAACACAGGGAACCAAACCCATGTTCTCCAGCAGCTCTTTCTGAAGAGAACCACGGCAAAGTAGATAGGAAACTACAGGGACTTTATATCAGACAGAAAAACGATTCATTACTGAATATTCCGACGTCTTTTGCCTCATGAAGACATATTAAGAACTATATCTAATATTCAACAGACATAATATCAACACAAGCCTCACATTTGGGCCCACAGTTGGTGGAATCTCTGGCTGTTCCGTGTTAAACTGAATATTTTGAGGAAAAGGGTCTATAATAGGAACGAAGCTGTAGGCCTCTTAGATTTATGATGCTTAAACTGTATCTGTTTTGTTTTATTGATTTATTTCGCAGGTGTTTGTACTGCCACAATGAAGCTCCTATGTCTTACCGTCCTCTACAAAGGAGAGAGCAAAGCCAGCCTACTGAAGGCAGCCTATGAATTATCTTCATTCGGGTTTTTTCAAAGATCCAGGTACATTCTTTCATTCCCTTCACAGATGAGCATTGTATGTTTGTTTACATACATTTTTTGTACATCATTCAAACAATATATGGCTATGCAGGATAACGAAGAGATACAAGTGTATTTTTGAAACTGAAACACCAAAGCTATTCCTGTTTTTGGTGACTGAGGGTAAAATGACTCTTTATATGTTTTTAAGATAGATATATATGGCCACAAGAATGCGGACACCTGACCAACACACCTGTATGAGCTTTTTGAACATCCTTTTCCAAAACCATGGCTGTTTTTATGGAGTCATCCCTCTTTGCAGCTATAACAGCCTCTATTCTTCTGGGAAGGCTTCACACAAGATTTTGGAGTGTGTCTGTGGGAATTTGTTCATTCATGCTGTGATTCTTGTCCTAAAGGTGCTCTATTTGACTTAGATCTGACTAGGGAGGCCACTGAAATACACTGAACTCATTGACATGTTTGTGAAACCACTTTGAGATGACTTGTGCTGTGTGACAAGGTGCATTATTATGTTGGAAGTAGCCATTAGAAGATGGGCATATTGTGGCCATAAAGGGATGAACACGTTCAGCAACAGTACTGAGATAAGCTGTAGAATTCAGTCGATCCTCAGTTGTTATTAGAGGACCCAGTGTGTCCCCACACCGTTACACCGCAACCACCAGCTTTAACTGTTGAAACAAGACAGCTTGGGTTCATGGGTTCTTTCTGTTTACACCCAAATCTGACCCTAATATCTACATGTGGCAGCAGAGATGCATCAGAGCAGGCACTGTTTTTCACAATGTTCAACTGTGTCATTCAGCCTGTGGCCACCGTAGCCTTAGATTAGTGGAACCCGATGTGGTCTTCTGCTGTTGAGGTCTTCCACCTCATGATTTGATGTGTTGTGCTTTAAGAGATGCTTTTCTGATCACCACTGTTGTGAAGAGTGGTCATTAAAGTTACTGTAGTCTTCCTGTCAGCTCACACAAGTCTGGCCATTCTTCTCTGATGTCTGTCATCAACAAGGTGTTTCTCTGTAAACTCAAGAAAATCTCAGAAGGTCAGCAATTTCTGAGACACTCACACCATCCCATCTGGCACCCTGTTCTTCAGTGGTCAGGACCCCCACAGGACACAACAGAGCAGGTATTATCTGGGTGGTGGATCATTCTCAGCACTGCAGTAACACTGATGTGGTGGTGGGATGTTAGTGTGTGTTGCGCTGGTACGAGTGGATCAGTCACAGCAGTGCTGCTGGAGTTTTTAAACACCTCAGTGTCACTGCTGGACTGAGAATAGTCCACCAACCAACAATATCCAGCCAACAGCGTCCTGTGATCACTGATGAAGGACTAGAGGATGACCAACACAAACTGTGCAGCTACAGATGAGCTGTCATCTCTGACTTTACATCTACAAGGTGGACCAACAAGGTGGGTGTGTCTAATAGAGTGGACAGTGAGTGGACACAGTGTTTTAAAAACTCCAGCAGCAGTGCTGTGTCTGATCCACACGCACCAACACAACACACACTAACACACCACCTCCATGTCAGTGTCACTGCAGTGCTGAGAATGATCCACCACCCAAATAATACCTGCTCTGTGGTGGTCCTGTGGTGGTCCTGACCATTGAAGTATATATATGAATATATATGTATGTATGACAGTATATCCTGACATATGAAAAAAAAGATGTTTGTTGTGACAGCATTCAGGAGTTCATGACTTTCACTTGTGGCCTCATAGTGGAACGTTCTGCACTTGGCGCTCAAGCTTCGGTCAGTGAGAAAGGTCAGTAACTCAACTTACTGAATATATTACAGCAGTCAGTGTAACACATACAATGACTTGTTTAGTTTTGTTGAACTTTTCCATTAAAACATGTTTAAATCATACTGTTTGTGTCTTCTTGGTTAGAGTACATGTGTCATGTGCACATACGGGACGATGGTCTGAGCGCTGTGGCCGTCGCAGACAGCGAGTATCCACAGCGCGTGTGTTTTTCACTGCTCGACAAGGTGTGTAAAATGAGTATATGTCATTGCTGTTGTGAGAAAACCTCATATATCCAAAACAGTAACGTTACAGGAAAAAGGAAAGCGGTCCTAACAAAATATAGTTTGGCCCATTTCACATTTCGACCGTTTTGAGGTTTTTCTTTTATGACACTGACTACATTTCTATCGACTTTCCACTTTGAAAATGCATGAACAATTAATGCGATGTTTGCTGCCCAGCAGCTGAGAGTTTTAGCAATAAATAAACTTGATATAATGTCATTCCTAAGTGATGAGAAATTTACATTTAACATGTTTCCATCTCTAATTTTCTGTCTCCACTTGTGTAACTTTGGCTTCCCTGACGTCCTCATACACTTTTGATGAAGAAAATTTGTTTAGCTAATTTTTATTATTATTATTTTTTTTCATCAGAACACCTTTCCCTGCCGTAGAGAGCTGTTTGAGCACTTTCCATAAAGTTGAACGGATTTTCATAAACTATTTGAGAACATTTCTGTTCTCATAGCCTACATCGACAAATCTTTTAAAGCTCTGAAGCGCTTCTATTAGAAAGCCTTTGGATGGAAACACAGCTAGTGATGATCTGGAGAACTGCGTAGAATTGTATGTTCTAATGTTAACAGAATTTGTTAAACGGCATATTTACATTTTATTGTTTTTCTAGAATTTAGTTTACCTACATTTATTCTCATATTGTGGCTTTAGGTGTTGGATGAGTTCTCTAGACAGGTGGATGACCGACAGTGGCCTACTGGAACTCCAGAAACCATCCGCTTCACCATGCTAGAGGAGTACCTTAACAAATACCAGGTACATGTATCACACAAACAGATAGTGATAGTTTGGTGAAAAATCAAATTTACACAGTTTTCTTATTTCCTATTAGCCCAGTTGTAGTTGATTTGGCATCTGAAGTTTGCTTCTTGAGTTTTGCACTAGAACAGAGGTCAGCAACCTGAAAGTTAAGAAGAACCATTTTGTCCTTTGAACAATAATCAGTCCTCCTTGGGAGCCACAGCATTTCATGTCCATTTTTTTTGAAGTAACGTTTTACCATCTTGTCTGTAAATATGTCTCAGTACATGCTAATGTCCTAGTATAGGCTAAACAATATAATATAAATGAAAACACAGACTTACCTTGGTCTGCTTTAAGCTTAAGCTCAGCTATAGCTGCTTTTCTCACATCTCCGGCAGGATACTTTTCTGCAAAAGTCTTGCAAAATGTCTCTCAACATTTCAGTTTTGACAGGTCTTAAAGCAGCTTTTCATTCACCAGCTTCTTGTTCGAATTTTCCCGTTCTACCCCAGATGGTGCCTGACGGCCAGAATTGAACTACTGCACCATTTACTGTGGAACGGGAAAATTCAAAAAAGAAGCTGGCGAACAAGAAGCTGACTACTACTAGCTACGCAAGACTGACGTCTGCGTTGCTATGTGATCAGCAGTCTGTCTGCCAATCTTCATGTAGCAAAAACAGCCATAATTCACTTTCACATAATAATGTTCCAACCTCCCTTTTTGTTACTGTGCTTTTAAAAGCGTAATATGTAAATGAGGTCTGTTCTGATTGCCTGCCCTGTATTGTGCCTCATTCACAAAGCAGTCTATGTTAAAACACTTCAATTAAAACCAGGCTCAGTTTCCATATATGGACTGGACATATATCAACAGTGTTGACATAATATACCAAACGCTTTAAAAGCATAACAAGTGATGAAAATTTGGTTTATTTTAGCTTACTTAACAATTTGAAAATGCTAACTGGTGGCCATACATTTCTATTACTTGTTAGCTTCATTAGCCTTATAGCTCCAGTTCAGAACTAATGAAACAAACTTTAGACAGCAAACGTTTTTGTAGAACTATCCCTTTAACGTTATGTGAGTCAAAGTAAGTAAGTGTTGTGTTGAGTGTGTTGTAAAACTGTCTGACCTCATGCCCTGCAGAATCCTAGAGAAGCTGACGCACTGACCAGAGTCCAGGCAGAAGTTGATGAGACAAAGATCATTTTGGTGAGACTGTTTTTCATATTTCAGTGGTCTATCTTGAGATGACTGCTGAAAATGACCATTCAACAGTTATATTTTCTGTTGTTTGACTTTTGGCTGGCTGTGTGGAGTTCAGGTCGTGTACACCCACATGTCAAAGTGGTTTGTGTGTGTGTATCTGCAATGTCTCCAACAGCACAGAACCATGGAGTCATTATTGGACAGAGGAGAGAAGCTGGATGATCTGGTGCAGAAGTCAGAGGAACTTGGACAAACGTCCAAAGCCTTTTACAAAACTGTAAGGTTTGGATTTGCACTGTTAGGCCTATAAACACACAACAGTTTTGTTTGCCAAAAATTTCACAGTAAGGATGTACTATATCGTTTTGTTATTCGGTATTTTGACATCGGCTTGCACAATATTGTTATTGCAGATGTCTGCAATATGCAAATGAGCCCTCTGACTAAACCCTGAATGTTTTAAATCATGAGTCAGTGACCTTTCATCGATACACAAAATCACAATATTTGGTTTGAATGAGGTTTGACAGTTAGGACACATCAGAAAGAACCAGTAGTGCTACATTTATGATTTTTATTCAACTTTTCACATCAAACAGGACTAATTATGCTCTCTTCGTAATGAAAGATGCAGTTGGTCAGTGTTCTTCAGCTGCTGACGACAGCCTTGATATCCTCAGAAAAGCATTTTGTGAGAATTTAGCACATTGTGATAAATATTGTCAACTTGCTCAATTCTACCAGGTAATCCCACAGTCACCTGTGGCTAGGAGCAATTTTCTCTGGCTGGTTAAGATGCGCCCCCTCCACCCCATCTCACAGTGTATTGCTAGCCAATGCAGGCATCTGTTAGCTCAGCTAAGAGAAGTGAGCAAATGTTCTCCTCCAAGCGTGTTGAGCTGTTCAATGATGCTGCATTAGCAGCAGTTTGAAAAGATGTTGTGAAGCTTCATGTGTCTTGAAGGAAGCACGTGCTGGCCTTCACCCTCCCAGTTTGGTAGCATTGTGTAATAGGAAGACATCTAGCTAGCAGATGGGAACAGACCACAAATAGTTGCAAAAACAGCAAAAAGTGTAGGCCAATCTTTAGCCACACCACATTGTTGATCTTAATTGTTCTTTAATATATTGCAAGTCATTCAATTGCAGTATGTGGCGATATAACCGAAGTGTGCTACTGTAAGTGTGCTAGTGAGTGTGTTAATATTATTTATATTACACAGCAAGTGTCCCTATTACATTCCCTCTACTTCGTAATGATCAACTGCTTTAATAATTTGATCATGTCCTTTTTTTTTCAGGCTCGGAAGCAAAATCGCTGCTGCAAGATGATGTGATTTGTCCTGTCTCAGATCTCCAGGCTGAAGGTTTTTGACATCAAGACTAACGAGAAAGTGCTTATGCAGTCAGCATTTTTCTTCATTTTCTTTGAGTATTAAACCAGAGTGATGGAATGTTATTAATAATGTTTCCTTCACCTCACTGGGGCTGTAAAAATCAATCTTTCTGGTGCCTTTACATTATCCTGTGTCTTTCTGAGAACCTTTTCTATTTTTGACTTCCATTCCAACTTGAGTTTTGCTATTGAGTTACAAGGCTAATGTAGGTAACAAGTAATGGAAGGCTGGTAATGGACAATGGGTAATGGTAAGATCCTGCCTTGAAGATGGCTGCTACTAGTGTTTTTAGCCATGCTAACGCATATTTGTCCATTTTTATAGACTACAGTATATAATACAGTGTCATACAAGTCTGTGTGGGATTACTTAACATTTCAACATGGTTTAAGGCAAATGAATGGTAATTTAGACCTACAGTTAGCACAAAGATGCTAACCTTGACTGTGAGGTTATAAGGTTTGTTCGCTACATTAGCCTCACAGCATCCATGCAAAGCTAAAGCAAACTTCAGACACTAAACCCAGGCTGTTCAACAACAATAGGAGTAAGGTGGAAATTTGATAGTTTGCAAGACTGCAAGAGGCAGCTTAGCACAGACAGTCATAACACTGTCCAGAGACTTTTATTATTATTTATGAATATGTGGAGTGTGGACTACTTTGGCAGCAGTGCAAGTTATTTGAAGTTGTTTGCCTTTGTGTGAAAAGAATGGTCTGAGGACCAGCATTAGAGCTTCCGAGGAAATGAGCGTTGCTGTTTTGTTTTCCATTTCGTTCCTTTAGTTAAGAAGCTTTAACCGTAATCAGAGGTGTGAAGAACAAAATCAGGAAGTTCAGATGAAATTCTTGAAAAACTACTTATACAAATTGTTTGGCTTGTGGGGAAAGACTTGGCAATAGATTGGAAGGGGAATGCCACCAGTTTATTCAAAATTTCTATGTAATTGAATCGTTGAAAAGTCATTCGGAGTGAAATGGTCACAATGTCTACAAGACAAACATAGCCGTTTACCACCAGTGAACCCACACACATCTTCAGTTTTTATTTGTAATATTTATGATGGTAAAATAGTGGTAAATATAAGTTATCTTCTGGAACAGCTTCACAACACCCTGCATGCACGTCTGTGAATTTTAATTTGAACAACTTTCTGTTAGGGAGTTTATAGACACATTAACGTCTGGTTCCTATTGCCGCCATTGTAAACAATTCTGACGTGGTAGTTTCTCTACCACGGAACATAAAGCTATTCTGAATGACTTTTATTACATCTTACTGACGTAATTATGCACAAACTTTGAAAAATCTGTGGCATTTCCCCTTGCCTTTGCAAGTTTTCTTTTAACATGCATGATGTATAGTATATACTTTTACTGTTGGTGTGTTTATTCAGTCTTATACACAAAAACGTTCAGTCAATTTTCTCTTGTCTTGGCTTATTTATTTATGTGGTGTTTTGCCTTTTGGTGTCTCAACCTTTTGTGTCTATCTGGGGCTAAATGTTTTGTCTCCGTATTTCTTCAGTGTTTACATTTTGGCCAGCTTTTGCCAGTCTACTGTACTTTCTGTTTACAGTATTGTAGCAGGCTACAGTATTGATGTCGTTTGACAGCAGTGGTTAGATTTAAATGAAGACTGATCTGTACTACTTGAATTCATATAGTAATTTTGTTCTCAGCTTGCTTCTCCCTCTTATTAAACAGGGCGGCGTGCTTATAAAGTGATTGCAATGTCATTAAATGATAAGTGATCCATGTACTCTGTAAGCAGTATGTCTACACACACAATATAATACCATAATAATGCACACAGATTCATTGACAAAACACACACACATTGACAAAAATGGGACTTGGAATTTACTTGATGCAAATATACACATAAAATCCATATAAATGATATTTCACATCAACATGCTGCCTTACTGTTCATCTTTCTTACGATGTAAGATGTAACATTACATATATATATAAGTAATATAATAATTGTGATACTGTATGATGTTGTCAATCAAGTACATTCAAAGCAGGCTTGAAATGATTCAGATCTCGTTGTGTTAAGATGTGCAACTATGATGTTCCAGTTGTGACCCTCAAATGACACAGTGGTCTTTTCATCCTTGATTGGGCAGCAACAATGTGCAACTTAAGCCTAATTAAAAGACAATTTCACCTGCTTCTTTGCTTTTCTTTCATTGAATTGGGCAGGTATTTCACAAAGCAGAATACAGTCAGGAAGCTGGATGAGTTTTTGTGACTATATGTTTATTGTATTTTAGCAAAAATGAGGACAATTACGTTCAATCGAAGCAGCAGACTATAATAAAGGGGAGAAATGAGATTTTCTATTTAAAATAGAAAAGAAAAACATGATTATTTGTCATATTAACCACTTCTATAATTTAATATGCAATAATATTTTATAACAGATTTAATGTTATAAATTATGGCCAAAATATATTTTTAAAAGTGTAATATTTTTTAATTACAACAAGAGTTTACTGAGAAATAAGATGCTGTAATTGTCTGTTTACAGAATCTTTTGTCAGAGATTTGACCACTTTTGAAATATGAGACATTCTGGATTACTTATAACTTCATTCTTTATGTTATACAGCTTTTTTCAGTCATTTTAGAGTCTTCTGCATCTCTGCATCTCTGGCCTGCAGCCAAAGTTGGCTTCCAAAGAGTTTTAATAAAGAGTTTAGTCTATTTTATATTTTATTTTTGACATAGCTTTACAAAACATAGTGTTATTTTACAAAATAAAATCAAGTAAAAACTCTATGACCCTTGACACCAGGCTATTGACCATGGTGCAGATCTAACAACACATGCAGATAGCAGCTATGGGCTAATTGAGTATAACAGGAAGTGCTGGGACTGGCATCAGAGCAGATTTGGAGACCAGCATGTGAGGAATATCTTTTCACTGTATTTAAGGTAAGGCAGTGTGCCTCTTATATAAGGAAACCAGCAGAATATTTAAAGCAGGGTTCAAGATCCAACACACCTGGCTCTAATCGTCAGATACTCCTGAAGGCCTTCGTTACCTGGATCAGCTGCATTAGATTAGGATTGGAGTTAAACTCTATGGGGTGTTAGATCTCCAGGACCAGGACTGAGCACCCCTGATTCGAAGAGTGTACACGAACGCTGTCAGTGTGAAAATGTAAGGCTGATAAATTGATAGCTAGATGTTTTGTATTTTTTTACGGAGCCCCGCTGGTGACATCCTGAATAAATAAAAAAATAATGCATGGCCACGACCTAGTAAGGCGTGGGAATTCGATGATTAAGTCGTGGCCACGACTTAGTAAAGTATGGGAACGAGATCACGGCCTTACTAAGTCTCTACTATTTTTATTTACACAGGATGTCACCAGCGGGGCTCCGTAATTTTTGACGATCAAATCATCATAAATATACTGAGCCCGGCTGGTGACATCCTGTGTAAATAAAAATAATGTGTGGCCACTGCTTATTAACACGTGGGAACGAGATCCTAATGCGTGGCCACGACTTAGTAAGGCATGGGAATGAGATGATTAAGTCGTGGCCACGACTTAGTAAGGTGTGGGAACGAGATCACGGCTTACTAAGTCATGGCCACGCATTAGGATCTCGTTCCCACGCTTTACTAAGTTGTGGCCGTGACTTATTCATCTCATTCCCACACCTTACGAAGTCGTGGCCACGCATTATTTTTATTTATACAGCATGTCACCAGCGGGGCTCCGTGTAAATATTACACTCTGGCTCCCTAAGATAAAAAAAATGAATATTCATATTATTATTATTTTACTCCAAACTTGATTAAAAACTAAGGCGGAGTCCAAAACAGCATATTACCATATTAAATAGTGTGTTCAAAATAGTTCACCACCCACAGAAGTCCTCACTAGTGCGGTATGTGCGGTGTAGTAGGGTGTGGTTTTGGACGCAGCTTAAAAAGCTGAAAACAAACGCGCCCTCGTAAACCACGCCCACTCCGTGCTCATCGCAACGCCCCGCCCCCTCGCTCTCTCGTCCCTGCAGCTCGAGCGCTTCGTCTGCGTTTATTATGAGAGAGCAGTGAGAGAAGCGCTGGTTTTCACCATGTGGCTGGAGCTGAGGAACAGGAGCAGCGCGCTTTCCGACCAGCTGCGAGACGCCAACCTGTCTCAGGTAAACGTGGCCCTGTTTATTAGTCCCGCACGTGTATATTTACTAATGTTTTTCTCCGTTGTTGCTTCGGCCCCACGTGTTCAGCCCACTCAGGTTGTAGGCTGCAGTGGATTTTAAAACAGCTGAAAGAGCTGTTAAGGGAATCGTTTAACGCGAGCTACGCTCTGGATGGGAGATTACAGTGGACTAACAATGCGTTTGTATAAACACAGATGTATTTGTGCGGCTATATTAATGTGAATCAGGCGAGCAGAGCTTGAGTTCCTTGATTTCCCTCACTTTTTCTTTCTCTTTTTCTGTAGCTTCCTGTCCTCCAGCATGTTGTGGAAACTTTCAGTAATGCCCTACACTCTTATCTTGGTCAAACAACAGTGCTGGGTCATGCTCCCCCCCCCCTTAAAATCTGTCCTTGCACAGCTTCTGTTAACCCCTCATTTCTCAGGTTAAGTCAAGTCAGTCACTAGGCCTGCTCATCCTTTTCTAGGGGTGGGCGATATGGCAAAAATATGCAAAATATTGTATCACGATACACAGTATACATCACAGTATTTCATTTTTCTGAGATATAATAAGTTGGAACAGACAAAATAGAACTTCACATAGAACAAATACTAAAATAATAACGATAAACCGACAACTGCAATGATTTTTATTCACATTTTTAACTGTACTGCACTAAATCCGAATAAACAGACCTGAATGTGCTCACTTTGTAATGAAACGTGTAGTCAGTGTTCTGACGATATCCGTGATACGCGCAGAAAAGCATGTTGTGACATAATTTATCACAATAACGATAAAATATCGCCCATCTCTACGCTTTGCCAGGCTTTTACGCTGATGGAAATTCAGTCTCACACACTACTATATTTCTTGCTACCAGAGTGATGATCATTAGGGAAAATGCTCATTTCCTTTGACGTCACACTAGATTTAGATGTAATCAGTGTAGTGGGGTCGTTTAAACTGCACACCAAAGAAGGCTGATTCCAAGTACTGAGGGGGGTGGGGGGGTTTCAGAAAGGATTTCTCACTTGGCTGGATAATTTAAGCCAAATATCGAGAGTTGTCCAGTAGGACCATCCCTGACTTCTCCTCCTGTTGGACAGGGCTTGACTTTTGGCTCAAGTTGTCTTGCAAACGGAGACTTGTGAAATATCCTTCTGCTCTTCCTTTTTGTTAGGTGTAGATGCTCAAACCGAACTAATCCTGCTCTTTCAGGTCTGTCTTTGTAAAGCCACCATCAACCCTTAATTTCTCTGGATAAAGCAGTAAACCAGTTACTGTGCCTTTGGTAGATGTTGCAGTTGTTGATTGTCATTCGCAGCCTGCTGTTATGGAGAATACATGCTTTTCTTTAGGTTAGCTTTTCTGAGCGTTTAACAACAAAAGCTCAGTGCTAAAAATGTCTCGATTCTATAGAGCTCTAATTAGGTAACACAGATTAGGTTCTGATAAATATGGCAAATGAGCGGCACTTGGAAGAGGCTTGAGACGTATTGGCAATTCAGGTTTAAATCTCAGTGCAATGGTTTAAACATTCTGATTTTTCAGTACTGAAATTGTTTTATTCATTTTGTAATATACTGACAGCATATTCCAATAGTGGACACCAGGCCTTCTCCTACCATTCTGCCTCCCTACAGAGTGAAACACTGGAATCAACACACTAACGGACGTATTAGCACAAACACAGCACTTAATGTTCGTGGGTGTGCCCCGTCTGTGATTTAAAGGGTTGGTTTTAATGGGCTGCCAATGAGGTGGCAGAAATTTTTGGGTGGTGTCTGGGGTGGCCAAACAGATTAGCGCTGGCACTGGCCACCCCAGATGCCACCCCAAAATTTCTGCTACATCATTGGCTTCCACCTTGCTGTGGGGCGGGTGTGTGTGCTCTTAAGGGGACAGTTGTTTTTCTATCAGTGGATCAACTCTTCAACAACTCCTGCGATGTGCATGTGATATTGAGAGCTGTCATACTGATATTCTGCTGGTCTTCTTCAGCACCTGTTCAAGGCTTGTGCCACCATCTAGTCGCTATTTCTGCTTCCAGTATTAAAGGAGGTCTCTTGGAATTATGAAGATACTAACACACATTAATGCCGTTTTTTAAAAAGTGGATAAAATAACACCCAAGAGCGGCTGCTGCTAGTTGCTGTAACGTTCGTGGCTGAAACAGCAGTTGCTGAATCGAGTGGAATGTTATCAGTTGCACTTCCAACATCAACCATTTCTTGCAAAATCCTCCTACATTTTGTGAAACCCTTCCTCAAATGCATATGGATGAGGGAGAGAAGCGCATTTTGCCACTTACCATATAGATGCACTCTGTGATTCTACAATTACAGACTGTGATCCGTCCATCTGTTTCTCTGCTGAAACGCAGTAAAACCACCACAGAGCAGGTGCTATTTGGGTGGTGGATCATCCTCAGCACTGCAGTGACACTGACGTGGTGGTGGTGTGTTAGTTTGTGTTGTGCTGGTATGAGTGGATCAGACAAAGCAGTGCTGCTGGAGTTTTTAAACACTGTGTCCACGCACTGTCCACTCTATTAGACACTCTTACCTTGTTGGTCCACCTTGCAGATGTAAAGTCTGAGACAATAGCTCATCTGCTGCTGCACAGTTTGTGTTGGTCATCCTCTAGTCCTTCATCAGTGGTCATAGGACGCTGACCACAGGACACTGTTCGCTGGATATTTTTGGTTGGTGGACTATTCTCAGCCCAGCAGTGACACTGAGGTGTTTAAAAAGCCCAGCATCCACTCAGACCAGCACAACACACACTAACACACCGTCACCACGTCAGTGTCACTGCAGAGCTGAGAATGATCCACCACCCAATAGTACCTGCTCTGTGTGGGACTTGACCATTGAAGCACAGGGTGAAGGGGGCTAACAAAGTGCAGGAGCTGATAAAATGGACAATGTATGTAGAAATAATGAGTGTTTGTTGGCTGATTGGTGTATATGGCTGTGCTGGTTAATTCCCATTAACATTGCTACATTGTTTGCATTCTTTCCTGAAAAAAAAAAAACATCTTGGCTGTCAAAGCATATGTGAACATTTGGCGATAGATGAGGATTATAATTGACTTTAAGAGTTTGAATGCAATACAATCGTTCACCACTTTTCAATCAGTGCTAAATAAACTGTTTTGGCCCTTTCAGTAGAGGAAACTCCCCAAGAAAGCATTTGTGCAATGTGGTGTATATTGTGAACCTCCTGCTCGTGAACAGGCCTGACTGGTTTATGCATAGTGTGCTAGTCTGGGTGATCTCCCTCTGTCTCATCTCATGTGTTCCCCTTTCTGCCTCCCAGGTCATTTTTCCTGCTCCTTCGCAGGCCCCCCTCGTCTCACACAGAAATGGTAATCACGCCAACCACTTTCATTCATTGAGTGTTTTGAAGGAGCAGTTCAGTGAAAGAACACATGTACATTATCTATTCGATCAGTCAAGACATGCTCGGTGTCTGAAATATACTTTTTTCCAGTTTTGCACTGGAGCTACAAAGCTAATGCAGCTAGCAAGCAACAGAAGCTTATACGAACTAGCATTGTTGAAGCTTCGTTCCTAAATCTTCACTCAGTTGCCTCAACTGTGTTGAGTTCTTGATACATCTAAACTAGGCTCGCTTATGTGGTATTTGACACTGTATGAGATACTTTTATCTATAAAATGGCCAAATTTTAGGGCACGGTTCAAGCTTCAATATGGCTAATACTTGTCTGACACTGTTTTTAGCTATGCTACTTGTTTGTGCCCTTTTTTATGAGTAAAAGTATGTTGTACAGCATCAGAATCCACATAAGCAAGCCTGTTTGAGATTGCTTAACATGTTCCATGTGGTTAGAGGCAAGTGTGTGATTTAGACTTGCAGTATGTGCAATACTAAACTGGTGGTTGAGCTTAGATTGCGTGTTAGCCACGTTAGCCTTGTAGCTCCAGTGCAAAACTTATGAAGCAAACTTCAGACACCAAACATGCCTTGCCTAAATGACTAGATTTTAGGTAATAGCGAAGACTGTAAATTTGTCTTTTTTTTCAAACTAGTCCTAGTGTCAAACCTTTTTTTCTCTCCAAAGGCTCAACAGTGGCGTCTCCAGCCCCGCTCACAGAGTCTCCAGTGCATAAACGCAGTGGGATCATACCAGGTAAATTCATATATGTGTCTTTAGTCTTTTACTCAGCCCTATCTAGATTATCGCTGCTGTCAGGACAAAACCTTTTATCTCCATTTTTGGCATTTTTCAGTTTTTGACATAATTTGAAAAGGCCCATTGCCCTTTACGATGTTTCAAAATTTCATGATGAACGGACTAACAGAAATGGTCCAAAATTACTTGGAAAAACTTATTTATCCGTTTACTTGCATTAAAAGTTCAGAACGTTTTTCCTTGTACTGTTAAGTTACCTTTTTAGAGATACAAGGTTTTGTTCTGACAGCAGCAATAGGCTATATGGGACATGTGTAGACTCTAGTAGCGGGTGATATACTGGGTGATCCGATATACAAGTTAAAATTTTTCCACAGGGTTGTGTTTTACAACAACCGTTATACTGCCAGGCCACAAATCAGAGCAAATAACAAGCCATACAAACCGTGTAAACCAGACTAATGTTGTCTGCTTAAGCTGAATGACTGAGTCAGAGATGTTTCAGTCACATCGCATATGAAAATGCAGCAGTCGCTGGATCGCCTCTCACTGTCTAGTCTACTGCTTCTGAAGTAGTCCACTTTGTCTTTGAGGCAGTGATAAAGGAATGGCTCGTCTTTTGGAGCTGGTCTTGACCTAACATGGATCTGTGAGAGATTGCTATGTTGTTTCCTTTTGTACGGCCTGAGGAGACGCCTAGCTCGGACAGCTGTGTTAGACAAGGTTGCAATCTCTGGGCCTTGTGTGCAAAACAAGCCGAGGACCAGCTGGTACTGAAACATGAATAACTAATATTTACCAAATTTCAGCAGTGTCTAGTAGTCAGAGGTGCGAGTGTACGGGACCCAAGTAAGAGAAATGACTTGAGAAATTCATTAAAGCTGAAGTTGGCTTTTTTTTAAATTTCCCATTCCACCTTAAATGGTGCAGGAGTTAGTCTATATACTAACCTATTAATCTGTGTTGTGCAGTTTTGTTTTTTACTATTTCGCCCCAAAAATATTTTAGATTCACTTGGGTGTTGAGGTTCTTATTAAAAAGTAAAAGAATCTCACATGCTTAAAAATGATGGTTCTTCAGGGGTTTTTAAGTAAAGACAACGATTCTGTATAAAACCATGAACACTGAAAGAACCCTATACATCATTAAATGGTCCTTGGCATCACGAAAGCATTCTTCAGATTGTTGAAGAATGTGCCGTAGATGGTTCTATATAGAATCTTTTTGAAAAAGGTTCTATATAGCAGCAAAAAGGATTTTTCTATTGTAACAGGTCTGATATATTAATGATAGAAGAACCCTTTGTGGAACCATCTACAGCACATTCTCCATCAATCTGAAGAACGCTTTAATGCTGCGACGAAACTTTTAATCTTAGAAAGGTTTTTTGAATGTTCATCTTTCTATATGGAATTATTTTTGTTACTAAAGAACCCTTGAGGAATTTTTAAGTGTGCAGAATAATGAGCCATTGTTAACCTACGAAAAAAAAATGGACTATATTGTAATACATACCGAAACTGCCAGAAATGTTAATTTATACCATGGTATAACTTTACAGTTACACTTGATTTTTTGTTACCGCATGACAGCATATTTTGCACCGCATCTCTCTGGTCGCAAGAGTTTAAACAGTGTTAATCTGACGGTAAACGTTCCTAAACATTTGATAAACAAATGCGTCTTTTGAAACCTTAATGCAAATTTGTAGCTGGTTTTCAAAGGTGAAGGAAAATCCATGCAGAACGGGCCGCTGCAAGTCGAGTGGCATACATAATCAGCCGCACGTGTAATATCACTGCCCTCCTTTGCACAATCCTTCCACGTTTTGCGCAGCCCTCCCTCAGATGTAAATGTATGAGGAAGAGAAACACATTTTGCATTTTTCCATGCACTCAGCCCATAAACTGCACGTTTAGGCTTGTGCACAAAAGTTTCAGTATGTTTACCATATGTACGTTATATAACATGAGGTATTCGTTAATGGGATTTTATAATTGTGTAGATAATTAGTATGAGCATGTATGTGTTCTGTCTGAAATAATAGGCAGTATAACACTGTGTTATAATAAGGGCTGTTGTGCTGTGGAAATGGTAGCATACGGCTGTAAATGATATGATTGCAGTCGTATTGTAAGTAGCGGACACAGTGCTTCTGTGCTCAGAGCCTGCTTTTTTAACCTACCCTGATTACAAGGTGGATAAATCTCTTTCTCTCCTTCCTTACCACCCTGCCTTTGTCATGTCTATGTGTCTGTCTGTCCCTCCGACTCGCTGCGATGAGCGTTTGTTGACTCTCATGAGCGTAAGAGTCCCATGTGTGGGTTTGTGTTTTAAAAGTGAACCTGTGGCAACAGTAGCTGCAGGGATTTGGGGATTTATAAGTGTACAACTGCTGTTGTAGCAACATGCCCCTATTCCAAATGTCCTTCATTGACTTGTTTCAACTTAGTCCCAATATTATCAGTTTAACAGGTGTTATTTGGTGCTACATGCATGTTGCTGATGTTTTTCGGTTCACTAAGGCCCACCATGGAGGCATGTCTGTTCCTGCGAACTCGAAACTGTTTCATTTCCTTGTAAGTGTTTGAATGGAAGTGTCATTTGAGGGTGAGCAGAAGAGCCTTGTATTGCATGTTCTTGGCTTTGGCCTTGTGTTCTTGAGGCTGGACAGTGGAAACTTTTACACAAGTTCCCACAGTCCTAATGGGTTCGTCGGCCGGGGGAGGGTGGTTTAAAGTGCTAGTTTGTTGAAATATTTCCCCTGACCCTATATGTAGTCAATCAGCCAAGACATGTTAGCATCTTTAGTTTAGCACTGGAGCTACGAGGCTAATATAGGTAACTTGTATTAGGAGCTTATACCACACCCGGTTGTTAAGTAATCTCAAATAGGCTTGATTATGTGGTGTCTGACACCTTATGACGCAGTTATCTGTTGAAATTTTACGAGTTGCCAACCTTTTGCAGCTTGCAGTCCACGCAGCTGACCACTAGGGCTGCAACAAACGACTAATTTGATAGTCGAATAATCTATCGATTACTGAAACGAATAATCGATTATTCGGATTATGAATCACTACATTACCAAATAAGTTTTATGTAGCTGTTCGTTTTTAAAGTTAGCTTGAGGTTGTTTAATGTATTTGCTAACTAACGACGAAGACAATAAAGATAGATACCATTTTAAAAAATCACTGTTTTAGTGAACATTCCTGCTAATACAAAAGTTAAAAAAAAAACTCCCAATATTTTTATATTCAAAATTTATAACCAAGGATGTGCAAAGTAGCAGCAATAAAATATAGCAAAACTAAATCAGTTTTCCTTTAATCAGGTAAATAAAAAAAAACAATCTAAATGTAAATGTTAAATTTAAACTGCAGTCTGTGACCTGTGCGTTCTGCTGTCTGTCTAAACTCTGTTGCAACTTTATTGAAACGGAGGAAAGTCAGTATCTCTCTGTGCTCTTGTGAGAGTCTAGCGGATACTCCCCGCTGCAGAGAAGATGCCCTCTGTTGGAGCGGATGGATGAAGACGATTCATCTCGGCAAGATACGCCCCGTCCCAAATCGCATACTAGCACACTAAATAGTGTGTAAAAATAGCGCATATACAATTAGAAGTGCCCTTATTAGTGAAGTACAGAAGTGTGTGGTTTGGGAAGCGGCGATAGCTGTGCTAGTGAGCTAGTTAGCTAGCAGTTAGTATTAGTGTTAAATTCCGTCCTACTTCATGTTGTGAGCCAAGCTGTAACATTTGTATTTTGAAATGCTGTTCTCTGGAATCATTAATGGAGCTGAAACAGAGAAGCAAGTAACTGTTATTCACAGCGACCCTGTTCACCTTCCAGATAACTTTTACAGTTTTAAACGCTGCATCGTTGTCTTAACGTCGAGGCCACCGGTGCGGTCAGTTTCGAACACAGGAGAGCGTTTCCAAACAGTTCTCTGTTCTCCGCAAACGTTTGGCTCCACTCGCTAACAGTGTGAACACACAGGAGAGAACAAGTTTGCCGCAAGTGTCCGCTACGACGAGTTTCCTCTTCAGATACTCCAACGTGGAGGATGTGCTCTCATGCCAGCTAAGGTCGGGGCAGCCATCGCGCTGTTGTTAACTCTGCGGTAAGCGGTAATGAAACATTCATAGAGAGCGCGAGAAAGACGCGTAATGACGTCACCAACTAATCGACTACTAAATTATTTGCTAACTAATTTTGGTCGTCGATTTTAGTCGACTAAGTCGAATAGTCGTTGCACCCCTACTGCACTCCAGCCCAGTCGTTTCAGATGGAAGCAAATATAAAACATAATAATCAGTGTATCCTGTAGAATTTCTCCTAACTGTATAATCAACATAATAAAAACCAAAACTCATGATGGGTAAATTCCTTAAATTTTTACCAACTTACAATACAAATACAAGCATATAGAACCACTCAAACATTCAAAGAACCCTTTACATAATTGAATGGTTCTTGGCATCGTTAATAATGTAATGTTAATAGTGTTAATAGCGTCTCAGTCTCAATCTGTGAAAGTTTAGGACGTTGTCCAAAATACGTCCACCAGATCTGATTGGACCTGTCATTTCCAAAGAAGTTGGGACGCTGTGCAAAATGTAAGTAAAAACAGAATGCAATGATGTGCAAATCATTTAAACCCTTTATCTAATTGAAGATAGTACAAAAGCAACATATCAAATGTTGAAACTGAGAGAGTTTATTGTTTTTTGAAAACTAAATGCCCATTTAGAATTTGATCCCAACAGCACGTTTCAAAAATGTTGTGATGGGAGGACAATAGACTGGTGAAGTTGTGTAATGACAAAAAAAACACCTGTTGGCTGATTGGCAACAGGTCAGTAACACGATTGGGTATAAAAAGAGCATCTCAGAAATCCTACACACTTAACAATAGAAGAGCCAATATTGTTTTGATGTCAGGCTTGTTACAATAGAATAACCCTTTTTGGTGCTATATAGTACCCTTTTCAAACTGGTTCTACTTAGAACCATCTACAAAACATTCTCCATCAATCTGAAGAAGCCTTTTATGATGCAAGGAGCCTTTTAATCATGCAAAGGTTTTTTTGAGTGTTCATGGTTCTATATAGAACCATTATCTTTACCAAAGAACCCTTGAGGAACCATCATTTTTAAGTGTTCTATATCGAGCAAGAACGGGAAAACATTTTAGTTTCAAATCTACAGCAGTCGGTCTCCTCAGTTCCCAAACACTTCCAGAGTGTTGTTAAAAGAAGAGGTGATGAAGCACAGTGGTAAACATGCCCCCGTCCCAACTGTTATGAACTGTGTTGCTGCCATCAAATTCAAAATGGGCATATATTTTTCAAAAAGAATAACATTTCTCAGTTTTAACCTTTTGATATGTCGTTTTTGTACTATTTTCATTTATAAATAGTGTTTACATGACTTGCACCTCATTGCACTCTATTTTTATTTACATTCTGCATAGCGTCACAACTTTTTTGGAAAAGGGGCTGTATTAATGTTTGCATGGTTTCTTAGCAGAGTAAAGCCACAGCATATTTCTTCAGACTTAGTACTTGTGTGTTTTTGTTTGTTTGTTTGAAACAAAAGCAAAACAATGAAATCTTACATAGTGCAGCTTTAAATTCTTGATAAGTAAACAGACGTGTTGCTGCCGGTTGTGACACATTCCAGGTGCTGTTTTATCTTATGTCCCTGTCAGTTCTCAAGCCTGTTCAGACTCTCATCTCTCTGCTAATGGAGCAAGAAAGAGCATGTGTAATGATGAGTGAATGAGGAAAAAAGGGGAGAGTGAGAGGACGAGTGTGGAATAGAGGGAACGCAGAGTAGAGCCAACACCTGGAACACTTTCTGACAGGGAGTTTAATTCTATTATGATTTCTTAGGATTTCACCCTGATTTGATTTGACTGTTTGGATATAATTCCAAACTATTTTAAAAATGCACTGAACACACAAATGAGTGGATGAACTACACCAATCAGGCATAACATCCTTGTTTCTATGCTCATTGTACATTTTATCAGCTCCACTTACTATATAGGTCTACTTTGTAGTTCTACAGTTACAGACTGTAGTCCATCTGTTTCTCTGTGTACTTTGTTTGCCCCCTTTTACCCTGTTCTTCAGTGGTCAGGACCCCCATGGACCCTCACAGAGCAAGTACTATTTGGGTGGTGGATCATTCTCAGCACTGCAGTAACACTGATGTGGTGGTGGTGGTGTTAGTGTGTGTTGCACTGGTCTAAATGGATCAGTGCAACACACAGTTATGCCTGATCGGTGTATTTACACAGCAGTGAATATAAACAATAAAGACAGTTAGGCATCTTTTTACGATAGACAATAATTCTATGATTGACAGCAGCATGGGAATTTCATTTAATGTAATTATTTTTATTTGTACTGCTGCAGTAACTGAAGTGTCTGTGCTGAGAGAGAGCAGAAAAGCAGTGTGAGTAAGGGGAGATGAATGATGGAGGTTCACACAGGACCCAGCAGGTCCTCACGTCAGTGCTGGAATGTTTTCCCTCCTTCAGTTTTTCCTTTACTTCAATTTCTTCACTAGACTTCACCAGAGCTGCTCTGCTAAGAGGCATTTAGTACTCAGTGTGTGGGTGTCATGCTGGTTTGCTTACTCTGCATTCAGTTTCAGTTCAGATTTAGGCCTAATGCCGTTATATGCTTTGTTTATGTTTAGGTCAAGAGCTGGGTACTTTGAAGGGGAACTTAGAAAATGAAGCGCACATAGAAGAGTTAACCACTGCTGTTATTGTGTTTTTCAAGTCCTGGCTTGTAGACAGCACCCTTACTTACTCATATGGCTGAGATCAAATCTGCACAGTGTCCTGCGGCCACAGTCTGTTTTATGAGGTGGTGCTGCAACATGTCAGACTGTAGTAGTCATCCTAATTCCCACAACTCATCATAATACCTATGAAGAACAGTACAGGAATGTGTTTTTCCAGTGTGGCTCCTCCTGGTGTACCAATCAAGACGTTTTAATAACGATACTAAAACCGATACCTCCAAAGTAATTCGTGATCAATACACTTATCCATGCTTAAATACCAGCATGTTGTGGATATTATCAGTACTTAAAGAACACTGCCTACATGTTTCATTACAAAGAGAGCATAATTAAGCCTGTATATTTAGATTTAGTGCAGTGCAGTTTGTCAAACATTAAATAAAAATCATTGTAGTTGTACGTTTATTTTTATTATAGGTAGTTTTTAGATGTGGCACTACAGGTTCTACTTTGTCTGTTGTAACTTATTGAATCTTAGAAAAACTGAATCATGATGCATATTGTGAAAATATCTTGGATGATATTTTTGCCATATTGCCCAACCCCACAAAAAAGAATTTATAATGTTTTACACACTTACACACACACACACACACACACACACACACACACACACACACATACATACATACATACATACATATAAACACCTGACCTTAATAATTAGGAGGGTGTCCCAATACTTTTCCCAATACCATAGAGTGTATATAGCTACATATAGTTGACATTTATTTTCATATTTATGTATTTACATATATAATGTCAACAGCCAATCAGTAGTCTAGATTTTAGAACAAGCTTGCTGATTGACTGATTAGCCCAAGTACTTGCTGAAATTTAGGTTTGGTTTTGTGGTGGGAGTGAGGTTAAGTGAAGGGTGTTGTGTTTGGAAACGGAACTGTATTTTGGCCAAAACATAAGCACATATTTGAGAGAATATTGTTATAATCAATTCAAATATTCCAGAAGCACCCATATTAATTAGCGTGGTCATTTGTGTGTCTGTCCACAGGTGCGATAGCTGCTGCACTGTTCATAGGCTTCATTCTGGCGCTCTATACTGTTCTGTGGAAGTGCATGGTCTCGCCACCCAAAAGGTGAGAAAGGAGAAATTTTTATCTTTATAGGTTCTTACAAAGGAGAGGTTTAAAGGAGAATTCCATCTTTTTTTTGTTCCAAAATTTTTTTTATTAAAAAAAAAAAAAAGTTAAAGTGGTTTGATGTGAAACGACTCAGAATTGTCCACAGTGGTGGTGATGGGAACCAGACATCTAAAGAGTTTAATGCTTGTAAAAGCTCCTTTAAAGAAAGTTATTACATTCTTTTTTGGCCTAAAACACATTTTTAATGCAGTGCAGCTATTTTGAAAAACATATGTTTGCAGACTTACCACTATTTTACTATAATCCACATAACATACAAAATTAAGAAGACATGTAGGTTCACTGGTAGTGTTGGGTAGTTAATAAAAAGGCTATATTTGTATTGTAGACATTGTGATCCCTGATTCCCATCACCATCACTGTAAACACATCAGACATCTGCAATTTCACATCAAATCACTGTGAATCACTTTACATCTCTCGAACTGTGCAGAAATAAAAAAAATCTGTAATATTCCCTTTAAAAGGAAATCCCCCCTTTAAACACATGTAGCTCTTCATACTCTGTCACACTCTGTCCCTTCTTATAACTGTAATATCTTTCTGTCTCTTTCTCAGGGGAAAAAGGAAAAGGATCCTGAAGGGAGTGAGGGGAGCAGTCTGAATCGCTGATGATGGCTGATTCTGACCTCGTGAATGTCAGGCCTTTGCCCTCCAGGACTGTGGAAGGGCATGTTTTGCCCCAAGGCAATTTCTGATGGTGCATTTTTATGAACAGAGTTATGGAAGCGCAAACCCTTCCGAGATGTGGGTCTGTAATGGCCCTGCATCAGTGATTTGGCTTGCAGTCTTTTCCAAGACTGGCCAGGTCATTCCACCAGTCAGGATTACACAATGGCTGAAAGGTAGTTTTGGATGTTAGTAAATAAGGCAGTAATTTGGTGTTGGTGGTTCAGACACAAACAGCTCTGCAAATGGTTTGTGTCACAGCCGCCACTAGATGGCAGTGCACTATACTTTTGAATACCATTAAAGAAAATTGCCTTGTTTGTATGGCACTTTCTGGCCTGATGGTTCAAGAAAAAAGACAAGCATGAATGCGCTTGCTGAACTAAAATGAAAGGCCTTGTAAATATTGTGTAGAAAGTGCTGCGTGGGTTTGGGATAATGATCGTGGTTTGGGGATGGAGGTTTAAAGCAGGACTTTGCTCTGAGGGAAATTCAGCCTAGTTTCTAGTTTCTCCCAAACAGCCCCTTTGGCCACAGTGAACTCTGAACCAGCAATATTTCCATCACTGAGCGCAGTTCTCACTGGGTGAAAGTGCGTCAGCCTGTCTGACGCAGTTTGAGACCTTGTGGATCACAGCTGCTACTTTAACGCTTCATTACTGTTGTATCTGCAACTCTAATAAAATCTAAGATGTGAATCACAAGCATTTTAAGTAATTATTCTCATTTATTCATGTATTTGGACCACCATACAAGCTCCAGTCACGATCTGGACTGAAGCACTGGGCGCTGAATGTCACGTGAAAGTCTGTTCAGCATGCTAATACATCATGGAAAACCTAGATCAAAGTTTGATACAGGTCTACATGTTTTCTATTAACACAGTGTTCTGCGACATTTCATTTCTATCAGTTCAACATTCTGGAACATGTAATTTCTGTTAGCACAGTGCTCTAACCTTTAATTTCTGTGAGCCTAGAGTTCTAGACCATGTAGTGTCTATTAGCACAGTGCTCTAACCTTTAATTTCTGTTAGCCTAGAGTTCTAGACCATGTAGTGTCTATTAGCACAGTGCTCTAACCTTTAATTTCTGTTAGCCTAGAGTTCTAGACCATGTCGTGTCTATTAGCACAGTGCTCTAACCTTTAATTTCTGTTAGCCTAGAGTTCTAGACCATGTCGTGTCTATTAGCACAGTGCTCTAACCTTTAATTTCTGTTAGCCTAGAGTTCTAGACCATGTCGTGTCTATTAGCACAGTGCTCTAACCTTTAATTTCTGTTAGCCTAGAGTTCTAGACCATGTAGGGTCTATTAGCACAGTGCTCTAACCTTTAATTTCTGTTAGCCTAGAGTTCTAGACCATGTCGTGTCTATTAGCACAGTGCTCTAACCTTTAATTTCTGTTAGCCTAGAGTTCTAGACCATGTCGTGTCTATTAGCACAGTGCTCTAACCTTTAATTTCTGTTAGCCTAGAGTTCTAGACCATGTCGTGTCTATTAGCACAGTGCTCTAACCTTTAATTTCTGTTAGCCTAGAGTTCTAGACCGTGTCGTGTCTATTAGCACAGTGCTCTAACCTTTAATTTCTGTTAGCCTAGAGTTCTAGACCGTGTAGTGTCTATTAGCACAGTGCTCTAACCTTTAATTTCTGTTAGCCTAGAGTTCTAGACCGTGTCGTGTCTATTAGCACAGTGCTGTAACCTTTAATTTCTGTTAGCCTAGAGTTCTAGACCATGTAGTGTCTATTAGCACAGTGCTCTAACCTTTAATTTCTGTTAGTCTAGAGTTCTAGACCATGTAGTGTCTATTAGCACAGTGCTCTAACCTTTAATTTCTGTTAGCCTAGAGTTCTAGACCATGTAGTGTCTATTAGCACAGTGCTCTAACCTTTAATTTCTGTTAGCCTAGAGTTCTAGACCATGTCGTGTCTATTAGCACAGTGCTCTAACCTTTAATTTCTGTTAGCCTAGAGTTCTAGACCATGTCGTGTCTATTAGCACAGTGCTCTAACCTTTAATTTCTGTTAGCCTAGAGTTCTAGACCGTGTCGTGTCTATTAGCACAGTGCTCTAACCTTTAATTTCTGTTAGCCTAGAGTTCTAGACCGTGTCGTGTCTATTAGCACAGTGCTGTAACCTTTAATTTCTGTTAGCCTAGAGTTCTAGACCGTGTCGTGTCTATTAGCACAGTGCTGTAACCTTTAATTTCTGTTAGCCTAGAGTTCTAGACCGTGTCGTGTCTATTAGCACAGTGCTCTAACCTTTAATTTCTGTTAGCCTAGAGTTCTAGACCATGTAGTGTCTATTAGCACAGTGCTCTAACCTTTAATTTCTGTTAGCCTAGAGTTCTAGACCATGTCGTGTCTATTAGCACAGTGCTCTAACCTTTAATTTCTGTTAGCCTAGAGTTCTAGACCATGTCGTGTCTATTAGCACAGTGCTCTAACCTTTAATTTGTTAGCCTAGAGTTCTAGACCATGTAGTGTCTATTAGCACAGTGCGCTAACCTTTAATTTCTGTTAGCCTAGAGTTCTAGACCATGTCGTGTCTATTAGCACAGTGCTCTAACCTTTAATTTCTGTTAGTCTAGAGTTCTAGACCATGTAGTGTCTATTAGCACAGTGCTCTAACCTTTAATTTCTGTTAGCCTAGAGTTCTAGACCATGTAGTGTCTATTAGCACAGTGCTCTAACCTTTAATTTCTGTTAGCCTAGAGTTCTAGACCATGTAGTGTCTATTAGCACAGTGCTCTAACCTTTAATTTCTGTTAGCCTAGAGTTCTAGACCATGTCGTGTCTATTAGCACAGTGCTGTAACCTTTAATTTCTGTTAGCCTAGAGTTCTAGACCATGTAGTGTCTATTAGCACAGTGCTGTAACCTTTAATTTCTGTTAGTCTAGAGTTCTAGACCATGTCGTGTCTATTAGCACAGTGCTCTAACCTTTAATTTCTGTTAGCCTAGAGTTCTAGACCATGTAGTGTCTATTAGCACAGTGCTCTAACCTTTAATTTCTGTTAGCCTAGAGTTCTAGACCATGTAGTGTCTATTAGCACAGTGCTCTAACCTTTAATTTGTTAGCCTAGAGTTCTAGACCATGTAGTGTCTATTAGCACAGTGCGCTAACCTTTAATTTCTGTTAGCCTAGAGTTCTAGACCATGTAGTGTCTATTAGCACAGTGCTCTAACCTTTAATTTCTGTTAGTCTAGAGTTCTAGACCATGTAGTGTCTATTAGCACAGTGCTCTAACCTTTAATTTCTGTTAGCCTAGAGTTCTAGACCATGTAGTGTCTATTAGCACAGTGCTCTAACCTTTAATTTCTGTTAGCCTAGAGTTCTAGACCATGTAGTGTCTATTAGCACAGTGCTCTAACCTTTAATTTCTGTTAGCCTAGAGTTCTAGACCATGTCGTGTCTATTAGCACAGTGCTGTAACCTTTAATTTCTGTTAGCCTAGAGTTCTAGACCATGTAGTGTCTATTAGCACAGTGCTGTAACCTTTAATTTCTGTTAGCCTAGAGTTCTAGACCATGTCGTGTCTATTAGCACAGTGCTCTAACCTTTAATTTCTGTTAGCCTAGAGTTCTAGACCATGTCGTGTCTATTAGCACAGTGCTCTAACCTTTAATTTCTGTTAGCCTAGAGTTCTAGACCATGTCGTGTCTATTAGCACAGTGCTCTAACCTTTAATTTCTGTTAGCCTAGAGTTCTAGACCATGTCGTGTCTATTAGCACAGTGCTCTAACCTTTAATTTCTGTTAGCCTAGAGTTCTAGACCATGTCGTGTCTATTAGCACAGTGCTCTAACCTTTAATTTCTGTTAGCCTAGAGTTCTAGACCATGTAGTGTCTATTAGCACAGTGCTCTAACCTTTAATTTCTGTTAGCCTAGAGTTCTAGACCATGTAGTGTCTATTAGCACAGTGCTCTAACCTTTAATTTCTGTTAGCCTAGAGTTCTAGACCATGTAGTGTCTATTAGCACAGTGCTCTAACCTTTAATTTCTGTTAGCCTAGAGTTCTAGACCATGTCGTGTCTATTAGCACAGTGCTCTAACCTTTAATTTCTGTTAGCCTAGAGTTCTAGACCATGTCGTGTCTATTAGCACAGTGCTCTAACCTTTAATTTCTGTTAGCCTAGAGTTCTAGACCATGTCGTGTCTATTAGCACAGTGCTCTAACCTTTAATTTCTGTTAGCCTAGAGTTCTAGACCATGTCGTGTCTATTAGCACAGTGCTCTAACCTTTAATTTGTTAGCCTAGAGTTCTAGACCATGTAGTGTCTATTAGCACAGTGCGCTAACCTTTAATTTCTGTTAGCCTAGAGTTCTAGACCATGTAGTGTCTATTAGCACAGTGCTCTAACCTTTAATTTCTGTTAGCCTAGAGTTCTAGACCATGTCGTGTCTATTAGCACAGTGCTCTAACCTTTAATTTCTGTTAGCCTAGAGTTCTAGACCATGTCGTGTCTATTAGCACAGTGCTCTAACCTTTAATTTCTGTTAGCCTAGAGTTCTAGACCATGTCGTGTCTATTAGCACAGTGCTCTAACCTTTAATTTCTGTTAGCCTAGAGTTCTAGACCATGTCGTGTCTATTAGCACAGTGCTCTAACCTTTAATTTGTTAGCCTAGAGTTCTAGACCATGTAGTGTCTATTAGCACAGTGCGCTAACCTTTAATTTCTGTTAGCCTAGAGTTCTAGACCATGTAGTGTCTATTAGCACAGTGCTCTAACCTTTAATTTCTGTTAGCCTAGAGTTCTAGACCATGTAGTGTCTATTAGCACAGTGCTCTAACCTTTAATTTCTGTTAGCCTAGAGTTCTAGACCATGTAGTGTCTATTAGCACAGTGCTCTAACCTTTAATTTCTGTTAGCCTAGAGTTCTAGACCATGTAGTGTCTATTAGCACAGTGCTCTAACCTTTAATTTCTGTTAGCCTAGAGTTCTAGACCATGTAGTGTCTATTAGCACAGTGCTCTAACCTTTAATTTCTGTTAGCCTAGAGTTCTAGACCATGTAGTGTCTATTAGCACAGTGCTGTAACCTTTAATTTCTGTTAGTCTAGAGTTCTAGACCATGTAGTGTCTATTAGCACAGTGCTGTAACCTTTAATTTCTGTTAGTCTAGAGTTCTAGACCATGTAGTGTCTATTAGCACAGTGCTCTAACCTTTAATTTCTGTTAGCCTAGAGTTCTAGACCATGTCGTGTCTATTAGCACAGTGCTCTAACCTTTAATTTCTGTTAGCCTAGAGTTCTAGACCATGTAGTGTCTATTAGCACAGTGCTCTAACCTTTAATTTCTGTTAGCCTAGAGTTCTAGACCATGTCGTGTCTATTAGCACAGTGCTCTAACCTTTAATTTGTTAGCCTAGAGTTCTAGACCATGTAGTGTCTATTAGCACAGTGCGCTAACCTTTAATTTCTGTTAGCCTAGAGTTCTAGACCATGTAGTGTCTATTAGCACAGTGCTCTAACCTTTAATTTCTGTTAGTCTAGAGTTCTAGACCATGTAGTGTCTATTAGCACAGTGCTCTAACCTTTAATTTCTGTTAGCCTAGAGTTCTAGACCATGTAGTGTCTATTAGCACAGTGCTCTAACCTTTAATTTCTGTTAGCCTAGAGTTCTAGACCATGTAGTGTCTATTAGCACAGTGCTCTAACCTTTAATTTCTGTTAGCCTAGAGTTCTAGACCATGTCGTGTCTATTAGCACAGTGCTGTAACCTTTAATTTCTGTTAGCCTAGAGTTCTAGACCATGTAGTGTCTATTAGCACAGTGCTGTAACCTTTAATTTCTGTTAGCCTAGAGTTCTAGACCATGTCGTGTCTATTAGCACAGTGCTCTAACCTTTAATTTCTGTTAGCCTAGAGTTCTAGACCATGTAGTGTCTATTAGCACAGTGCTCTAACCTTTAATTTCTGTTAGCCTAGAGTTCTAGACCATGTCGTGTCTATTAGCACAGTGCTCTAACCTTTAATTTCTGTTAGCCTAGAGTTCTAGACCATGTCGTGTCTATTAGCACAGTGCTCTAACCTTTAATTTGTTAGCCTAGAGTTCTAGACCATGTAGTGTCTATTAGCACAGTGCGCTAACCTTTAATTTCTGTTAGCCTAGAGTTCTAGACCATGTAGTGTCTATTAGCACAGTGCTCTAACCTTTAATTTCTGTTAGTCTAGAGTTCTAGACCATGTAGTGTCTATTAGCACAGTGCTCTAACCTTTAATTTCTGTTAGCCTAGAGTTCTAGACCATGTAGTGTCTATAAGCACAGTGCTCTAACCTTTAATTTCTGTTAACCTAGAGTTCTAGACCATGTAGTGTCTATAAGCACAGTGCTCTAACCTTTAATTTCTGTTAGCCTAGAGTTCTAGACCATGTCGTGTCTATTAGCACAGTGCTCTAACCTTTAATTTCTGTTAGCCTAGAGTTCTAGACCATGTAGTGTCTATTAGCACAGTGCTGTAACCTTTAATTTCTGTTAGTCTAGAGTTCTAGACCATGTAGTGTCTATTAGCACAGTGCTCTAACCTTTAATTTCTGTTAGTCTAGAGTTCTAGACCATGTAGTGTCTATTAGCACAGTGCTGTAACCTTTAATTTCTGTTAGCCTAGAGTTCTAGACCATGTCGTGTCTATTAGCACAGTGCTCTAACCTTTAATTTCTGTTAGCCTTAGCCTAATGCCCCAGTCACAATCTGGACTGGAGGACTGGGACAGTGAATGTGTTATGAAAGTCTACTTTACTATGCTAAAAGATTTTTTTGCTGGAAATTTTAGGCCAAATTTTGATTCTGCTATTAAAGTTTTTTCTATTAGTCTAGTGTTCTAGAACTTTTAATTTCTTTTAGCCTTAAGTTTTTTATGTGTAATTTTTATTAGTCTAGTGTTTTGTATCATTTCATTTTTGTTAGCAAAGCTTTTGAAGTGATTCCTATTAGCCTACTGTTCTGTATCATTTTATATCTGTCAGCCTAGTTGTAACATTTCATGTCTATTTATAATGTTTTATTTATATTAAATATTATTAAACGTTTTTGTCTGGAAATCTTAGAACAGTTTTTGACATATTAGCCTACTCTGTGGTAACATGACTTTAAAAGTATAACATTTTGCACACATTTTTATTGTGTGATTGTTAATGATTGCTCAACTCCCATGTAGCACCACTGGAAGTGAAAGCATTTTGTAAGTTGCACTATTTATGTTACATGTGCACTTTTTTTTTCAAATTTGCAGTTGTGCTCCAAACATTACTTTTAAATTAATGCAATGCTTTTTACAATTTTGTCTGATGTTTTTTCCCAACTGGACATTTCAGAGAGACACCGATTTTGTCCACATTTTGAGTGTTTAAAATGTTAGCATTGCTAAATGAAGGCTGTTTTAAAGTGTGAAATACACGCAGCTGTTTTGGATTCTTCTTGGTCTTACACAGAAATAATTCTCGTTCTGGGTATCTGTACAACACCAGAATTTTAAAGCAACTGTGATTATAAAAGCAGGACATGTCCAGAATGATGAACAGAGCCATATATGATTGTACATGTAAGATAACTTGACTGCATGATTGCATGATATATATAATGATGTAAACCTACTATAAATACATAGGAAATAATTACAGTGTATAATAACTTCCAAAATACTTGAAGTATTGAAAGACAATCCAAACACACCATTTGGTATTTAGTATATAATATTTAAATCTACATATTAATAACGATTCCAAACATTTGAATAATAGTGTAAATAAGAATGTTTTCAGATAGTACTTAGTGACTTAGTGAGTTTATCACTGACAAACATACTTAAAAGCTCAAATTCTAAGCAAAATCCACTGTTTGTTGACCCGTTTAGGTTGCATGTTCTGTACAGGTTGCTCTCCTTCTATCTTATCTGCTTGGTTCTCCCTCATAAAGACTGATTTCATTAGCGAGTTAAAAAAATAGCTGATTTTGATGTCAGAATAACCCACAAACACAGAGGAACAATATGTTGAAAATACCCAAAGTGCATTTCATCTCGCTGTAATCATTCTATTATACAAACACAAACAGATATTGCTTTCCCATCACTGGAGTGTACAGTGTGTTGTTCTATAAAATAACAGTGTTTCTGATTTTAGTTTAACAGTACAGTGTCTAAACAAAGACTAACATCAAACATGCAGGTATAATGAAATTAAATAAGACAATACATTCAACACACAAAAACAGAAGAGTATTCTGTGTAAAAAAACAAAACAATTCTAAAACATTATTGCAATTTCTGTGTTTCCCCATTATGTTGGGAGTTGAAAAGGCAAGATCGTTCAAGAAAACAAGCAGCGTTTGGAGCTTAAAGCTACAGCCTGTTAACAGCACCGCAACACGAGTGTCCTGAAACTTACGGCTCCTAGAGAGGTCCTAGGTTCAGTTATGTTTCCTTTAAAGGAAGTGTCTTGCAAAAAAATTAATTCGCACATTTTTCCCTCTTAGCCCAAATGTAGTCGATCAACCAAAACCTGTTTGGTGTCTTAAGTTTACTCTTTTAGTTTTGTTCTAAGAGCTACAAAGCTAATGTAGCTAACAAGTAAAGGAACCTTATAGGAACCAGGTAAGCATCATGCAAACTGCATATCTAAATCGCCACACACTTGCACTGAATAGTAACAAAGTACTTATAGCGCCCGTCCCAGTCTTAAGGTCACTTAAAGTTGCTAAGTAATCTTAAACAGACTTGCTTACACGGTTTCTGACACTGTATGACAAACCAGTATCTGCAAACATGGACAAAAATATGTCGCACACCTAAAACGGAAGTAGCAGCCCACATTGAAACCTAAACATTTTCTCTACTTTTGACATTTTCACCAAAGTATCGCTTGAAATAATCGCAAAAAGACTTGCATATGAGTTTTTTGACATTGTATGACACTGTGTGCTTTATGTAATCTTGCTTGTGTGGTTTTTGAAACTATTCGACATACTGCAAACTATAAAAAATGGACAAGAATAATTAACGTAGCTAAAACAGTACTAGCAACCACCTGGAAAACTACATTTTTGGTCATTTTCCGTCACACTTGTCTCTTTCGCTATAAGTAACCTCAAATAGACTTGCATGTGAGGTTTTTTGGCGCTGTATGTCATACTGTTATAGTTAAACATGGACAAAAATAATGAATATAGCTAAAACAGCACCTGGACTACCTGGAGGCCTATTTTTTGTCATCTTCTGTCATATTTGACATTTTCACCAAATTTCACCAAAAAGCACTTTATGTAGTCTTGCTTGTGTGGTTTTTGGATTTGTTTGACATACCCCAAACTATAAAAATGGACAAAAGTAATTAACACAGCTAAAACAGTACTAGCAACCACCTGGAGAACTACATTTTTGGTCCGTCACGCTTGACAATCGCTATACGTATACTTGCTTGTGTGGCTTTTGAAACTGTATGGCTTGTTATTATCTATGAAAATGATGCCTTTATTCATGTCTTGGTTTATCAACTACATTTATGGCGGGAAGAAAATTGTGCAAATTAGATTTTTCGCCAGTTAACGCCCTCTTTGTGAGCTGAAAACAGCAAAACAGCAAAGTGCATTGCATGAAGGCCCCAATTGGTTCAACCTGTTACAACTGCATGTTTACATTTCCCTCTCTTTGACTTCATGCAGTCCTGAGGTAAAAAAGAGTTTCATTCCAAAATGCTCTTCTGACCCTTATATTGCACCAGTGTGTCTTGACATTATGTCCCATTTTGAACAAACTCAGCAGCCCCCCTTTCTCTCTCAGCCCCCGCTATGCAGCTTTCTTGTGTGTAGTTATGAACTGGAAGCTGAGAGGAAGGGCAGGACTGTTTCTGAACTAAAAGTTGGTGATGCCTGATATCTATTTGCTGCCCTCTTCAGGTGCTTGTACTATCACCGTTTCTGGCTTTTGGGGAACTGTTTCATTCTGTGACGGCACGGTGGGCTGTAAGCTGATGGGATTCTCGTTATTTTCGAAGCTGACATTGTCGTACTGTGCTCTGCTGCCGTATTCCATCTCCTTGGCTTTCTTTTTCTGCAGCTCCAGCAGCACGGCCTTATTCACAGGAGGACCTGAAGTAAAAAAGAAAAGCCGAGGCTTTAGTGAACAGAGATTTAACAAAGTGTGCTTATTCGTCACAATCTTTCATTCCTATCATTGTAACCAGCGGAGAATCCTCAGGGCCTTCTAGGCCTTCACAGAAGGCCTCAAGATTCCTTAACAATGAAGAAATACATGCCTCTAAATTTGCTATTGATTTTTATTTAGTGTAATCATCATGCTTGTTGTATTGTCCTTCTCTCATGTCATCGTCAAAAAATAGAGCGCTGTAGGCAAGAGGAACCATTCAAATGAAAACCTGATGCAGCAGAAATGCAACAGGCTGAGCGGCCATGACTGTAATTTAGCTGCAGCTAACTTAGCTACTGGGTTGATTTTAGTTAGTTAAATCTGTGCCTGATTCATTCATGAAATGTGGTAGACACAGTGTTTTAGAGTTAAGAAATGAACAGAATTATGAAAAGAATCCACTGAGAACGCAGATTTAACTGCTCTTCATTCCCAGCACTTCACTTGCAAAAACGTCCGCTATCATAATAAGAGTCCCATGTAATCATTTTCTTAATTCAAGTGATCGCTAAAATGTTTATCAAATGCTCTATTGTACTACAACTACTACAATAATGCTATTTTTAATGTTTTAATACTACCACTGCTAATAATAATAATAATAATGACAATTAGTAGTAGTAGTAGCGGTAATATTTGTGGTTTGTGATAACAGAAGAAATGCTAATAAGCATTGAATAAGATGTGCTTAAATATGTGCCTTGAAAAAAAAATACAGGACACTTTTTCCATGCAATTTTTACCACCAGCACCCCTTGGAGAAGACCACCTGGCTCAGAGCACCCAGGTAATTCGAGTTTAAAACCTCTGCCCTACACGTTTGGCTAACTACAAACACAACTAGAAATGTCCCGAACCTGATACGATTTGCTGCACCGAGTAGCTGGAGTGTTAACTTGCAGATCCAGTGATATTCAGTGAAAAAAATGTACGCAGGATAAAATGTATCTGCTTTGTAACATTGTAGTTAGGGCTACCACAGGATGCAACATTAGTGATTTTTATATACAGCATTCAATATTTTTTTTTACAGAAAAGAGCTGTGTAATCCTTTGGTTTCTTATATGTACATGATGCTGACATCAGAATGACCAGAGGTCTACAGGTGGAACCCATTTCATGAGAAATGAATGTCACTCTAGGCCTTTCAGACAGTTAGAAATGGAAAACAGCAGCAGCTCTATGCTAGGACTTTTTGCTGAAGGAGTCGCTGTAGTGCTGCTGCATACAAGGTAAAATGTATATATCGCTGCTGTCGGAACAAAACCTTGTATCTCCGAAACGGTAACTTTACAGGAGAAGGAAAAAACTTATTTTGCTTTTAATGTAAGTCAATGGAACCAGACATATTGGGTCATTTCTTTTGGCCCATTTCATCATGAAATTCACACACAATGTAAAGGACACTAGGTATTTACAAATTATATCAAAAATGGAGATATGAGGTCTCGATGTCTTTCACAAGAATCAAGTTTCTGTATTTAATCTAGAATAGTCAAAAAAAGGTCATTCATGCTTAGAGCTAACACACTATTAGATATCCAATAAGGGCTCCAGCAGAAATTCGCATTAGCGCAGAGGTAGTTTTTCTCATATTTTGATTTTATGGTCTGAATTGAATCATAGTCACAGCTAGTCACTGATTCTCACCACATGTATCAGTAGAATAACAGTATTTACCTATTTAGTTTGTGTGTTTGTGTCTGTGTGTACATTTGTGTGTGAGCGTAATACCGAAGAAGCTGAGGAGCACGGGCAGGAAGATAAGGCCGTGGGCCATGCCCAGCAGTGTGATGACCAGATTCAGCCTGAAGAAGAATATCTGGATGAGCTGAGCCTTAGCGAACGCTAAAACGATGATGCCAGGTAGGTTCGTCATAGCAACGCCAGCAAACACCTGTCAACACATGACATGAAGTGCATTAGTTATCTTAGACATGCACCCTTACATAAATCTGCCACATGAACGAGCAAAGTCCACGTAGCCTACCTGTAACGCCTACTGCTTAGTTCTGTGCAGTTCAGAATTTTATCAGCCATCTGCGTTTACAGTAGAAATGCTAGATCTTTCACTCATTCACGCTGGATTTAATTAGCTGGTGCCAGTATTATTGCATCTTAGAGCCCACATCAGATTGTCGTGTTTTCCCCAATTTAACACACTTGTTTCCACTCATAGAGTAATTATCAAGCTCTTCATGAGTCCGTTAGAGAACTACTGCTTTACATACAAAATCTGGGGACACCTAGCGATTCAATACGAGTTTTTTAAGCTAACTGACCATGATTTCATTGTTGGTTTTCAATTACATATTACAGACAGTGCTACATTGGAAACAATTCCAAAGACTACACATTTTATCCCATTGTTGTGATGTTAGCGCTTGTACTTTGAACCACATTTGGGCAAATATGTGCTTTTTTATCATAAAAAAAAAAACAATTACTCCACTTTTTTAAAGAAAAAGAGTTTGATCTATTTGATATATTTAAGTATTAAAACACAGTGTTCACTTCCCACTTAATACAGGCCAAATATGGAAGGACATATCGCTCATGTCGGAACAAAACCTTGTATCTCCATTTTTGTCATTTTTCATTTTTTGAAAATGCCTGTTGCCCTTAAAATTATATGTGAATTTCATGATGAATGGACCAAAAGAAATAGTCTAAAATTACTTGGAAAAAAGTCTGGTTCTAGTGACTTACATTAAAAGTAGAGTATGTTTTTTGTTTCTCCTGTAAAGTTACCACTTTGGAGATCTGAGGTTTTGTTCTGAAAGCAGTGATTTTTACAAATATCCACCTATTCAGCCAGCAGCAGATTAGCCCTGCTCGTTAATGATGAGGTTATAAGGAGTGTTCCAGCCCAGACTGCTTTTTAATAAGGCAGCCAATCAGAACAGAGCTCATTTACATATATTAAAAAGCACAGTTGGAAAAACAGATGGCTTAATTTTATGGGATTTAGAGTGGCTGGAAAATGATCATATAAAAAAAATTATGTCTGTTTTTGGTGCATACACCTACAATAACATCATAAACGGACATCACAGGAAAAAATACATGCATTGCATTGAAAAAGAGATTAAATTTATAAAAGTTATATTTCAAACTGATACTCCAGCAGAGCAGAACGTTTAGATGATGCTGGGTTACAGCACTATAATGTCTGCACTAGTCCCAATTTCTACATTTAATAACTGTTTATGTATTGATATCAGCCAAATCCAAATATTGGATATTGGTATCAGCCAAATATTCCACTATCGGTGCATCCCTAGTTTTATAATAAAACATTGTTTTTTATGTAACTAAATTCAAGGTGTCCCTAAATATTTGGTATATCTGGTAGTACTTACTGCACTGCCCATCTTTGCTGTGGCCTCTTTGGCTCTCTCCACCTTCGTGGGTAAAGTGCTGAGGGCGAAGGAGCGTGTCGTATGAGACACAAACTCCACTGAAATCCCCACAGCCTGGAGACATGAGAGAAACGGCTTGAGGAACAAATACACAACAACGACAAAACAACACCCAGCAGGATATACAGCAGCATGCAGCACTTACAGTTACCTTTATTATAGATCAGTATTATGATTCATAACATAAATTTTATTTAGTATCCGGGTCCTTAGACATTTTCAAGATGTATCCCACCCTACTCACCGTCACAAGGTTGATGAGTGACACAGCATTGAAATCGATGCTCCACAGGGTCATGACCCCCACAGTATCCACGGTGATCATCACTATGGTGAAGAGGTTGAGGAAGCCGGAGCGCAGGTCCAAGCCCAGGAGAATACAGCACACCACGAAAGTGGGCAGCAGACACAGGCAGATGTTCCTCACACCCTCGTACACAATGCTAATGTATTGCTCATAGTACACGTATGTCACACTGTGGGGAAACAGCAGAGACAGCAAAGAAGCCTTATATAATATGTATTCATCCCAGTCACAACAAAACCACATCATTCCATTTTTCCACAGATCTTGTTTTCATTCTATTTGTAAACGCCAGCTGCCCTTTACGTTATGTGGACAAATCACAATGAAAAGACAAATGGAAATCTGGAAATTAAATTAGGAGATTAAAGACATTTTTCTCTTTTAAGTTTACCATTTTGTGGATACACATATTGTAGATAAAATTGTATCACATGTGACACAATGTTAATAATACGTGATTACACACGACACAATGTGAATGTGATCACTTGATATTATGTGAATGTGATCACATCTGACCTAATGTGAATAATCTGTGATCATGTGACATAATTTGACTGATACGTGATCACATGACAATGTGAATAATATGTGATCACATGTGACCATATGAATAGTGCGATCACACGTGACAATGTGAATGTGATGTCATGCTAATGTGATCACACGCGACCTATTGTGTGTGGTCACACGTGACCATATCAAGAATGTCATCACATGTGGCAGTGTGAGTGTGTTCACATGTGATATTATGTTCATGTGGTCACATATGACCACAGTGAACATGTGATCACGTAACTGTGTGAATGTGATCACAGTATATTATGCGAATGTGATCACGCGTGACCTATTGTGTGTGGTCACGTGACCATATCAATAATGTCATCGTGTGACCATGTGAACGTGATCACAGTATATTGTGCAAATGTGATCACACGTGACCACATGAATAATGTGATCACATGTCACAATGTGAACGTGATCACGTGTAACAATATGAATATGTGATGACACATGACAAAATGTGAATAATATGAGATCACACGTGATATAATGTGAATAATGTGTGATGACATGTGACGTGTGAATAATACATAACATAATGTAAAGAATGTGATCACACCTGATATAATATTTGACGACTTCTGAAGTGTCTAAAACAGAATTGAATGTAAAGGCTGGTGCAGAGTCATATACTTGCATGATCACATTTGGTCTGTTATCTGTGGTATTTGTAATGTTATTACCACATCAGTATCTTTAGGATAAGTTATAATGAGAGTCAGGTTACTGTGACTACTATAACAACTGAATGAAATAGAGTGGCATTCATGTTTCTGGATATCCCGAGGAAAAATAAGCTGGACATTTCTGGACTTTCTGGAAGCCCCAAAATGTAGAGGTAAAGAAAGGTGCTCTCGTATTATTTACAAAAGAATCTTCAAAACGCATTTAATATTAATATCAAATTATAAATCAAGGCGTATTTTACTCTTTTTTTAATTTAATTTGATTATTTTTTCCTTTTCCTTTCTTTCCTTTATTAGTTTATATGTTGCATTTTAGCTTGTTTAACCTATCTTGTAAAACACCTTGTAAACTTGCTTTTAAAAAGATACAATGTAAATATCTATAAACATAATTGCTATGTTAAAATGAATAGCTCTTTGAGGCTCCTTCTGGATGGGCTCTTTTCACATTTATCATGTTTGCACAAGCTTTTACACAGTGTCATAATGACCTCGTATCTTATCATGGAACAGGACTACCATGGTGGAGAAAGAAAGTGAGAAAGAGAGAGAGAGAGACACGTGTGAAAGAGTGTACGTGAGGCACTCACGAATATGGGAAAACCTCAAAGTCCTCTGCTGTCCCGGGAATCATTCTCATGGCCATTGTGATGTTGTGGGCCAGTTCTCTCACCGTCAGCAGAGCTGCTGTGAACTCTTGAGAGTTTCTCAGAGGAGTGTGATAGGCCATGAACCGAGACGCTGCAGAGAGAGAGAGAGAGAGAGAGAGAGAGAGAGAGACAGAGAGAGAGACAGAGAGACAGACAGAAATCAGACATTTTTAAATGTAGCTAGATTTATCTAAGATTTTCCTCACAGATAAACGTCTGTTTAAAGTTTGGTAACACATAGTTTTCATTAATGAAAATGTTAAAGTCAGCCTAAAATCAAACGGACCTTTTTACCTTGTCAGTTTATGTTCCTGGTCATATTAATATCATATCATACCATTCCAAAGACAAATTTCTTGTTTTCCCATAACTGTCACTTCTGCCTGCCACCAAAATGTCTTCTGATGTTTGATCGTGTCAGCGTGCACCAGCAGGCAAGGAAAAACAGCATTAACCAATAATAGCTATACCTTCCCCTCCCACCATCCCCACCTATCATGGAGAGAAAATCACAGCCCCCATCTGATGTTGTGTTTTACTCACAAATACTCTACAGCATGGAATGAAAATGTGCTACAATTTCTGACGTTAACAGAACTTTAACAGAGCAGGCATTTCTGACTTTATTGAACATCAACAGTGAGAATGAAATTTTACTTCAAAATCTGAAAGAAGGCAATTTCTCCAAACTTCCCTTGCACAAAAATCACAGGCATTTAACATGTTAAGTGTCTAAAAAACACATTTGTAAGTAAACACGTGGGACATAATGTGAATAATGTGACCACATGTGACATAATGTAACTAATATGTGATCAGGTGACAATCTGAATAATGTGATCACATGACATAATATAATGTGATCACGTGAAAAATGTGAATAATATGTGATCATGTAACAATGTAAATAATGTGATCACACGACAATGTAAATAATATGTGATCACATGATAATGTGAGTAATGTGTGATCACGTGATATGTGAATAATGTGATCACGAAAAAAGTGAATGTGATCATGTGACATAATCTGAATAATGTGATCACATGACTTAATGTAAATAATATGCAATCACTTGACAATGTGAGTAATGTGTGATCACATGTGATATGTGAATAATGTGATCACTTGAAATAATGTAAATAATATGCGATCACATGACAATGTGAATGATATGTGATCACATGACAATTTGAATATGTAATCAAATATAACAGTTTGAATGTGATCAGGTGACAATGTTAATAATATGTATTCACACGTGACAATGTGAATGTAACATAATGTGAATGTGACATAATGTGAATGGGATTATATAACAGTGTGAATATGATCAAGTAACATAACGTGAATAATGTGTGATCACATGTGAAGTGTCTAAAAATGTTATTATTCGTAACTGAATCTCATTATTTTTCTGTAAGCGTTCGAAAAGGCAGGGTATCTAGATCATCTGTGGGAAAACAGAATGTATGTTTTAATGTCTCACCAGATATTTCCCCAGTCACGTTGTTCCACACCACAGCTGTGTCATAAGCCCCCAAACCACTGTCACAGAAAAAGAAAAAAAGAATAGGATAAGCAAATCTCTACAGAGCATGGTTACTTTTTTAACTGTACTCTGAACACATCCTCAAATTCATATACATACATACATTATGTCAAAAACTGAAAAATGTCAAAAATGAAGATGGTTTTGTTTTTCTTTCGACAACAGCGATATATATATATATATATATAAGTGTGTGTATGCATGTGTGTATGTGTGTGTGTACAACACATTCTATGCATGCTCTTACTGTGCAAACTACAGTTCAGTTGTATGCAAAAGTTTGAACACCCAAACGTTTACACACGACTATAACTCATTAACGTACCCTTTGGGGCACTGCAAGTCTGGCCGGTTGGTGAGGAAACTGGGCAGAAACTTGTTGAACTCCTCCACACTGGGCCGCAGAATCCCACTTGATGGGAGTGTCATACACTTGTTCCAACACATGAGGGTACCTGAAGGCGAAAGAGACAGAGACTGGAGTAATTAGCAATACGAGAATATTCTAGCACACCTGGAACACAAGGAAGGGTATGAAAATGTACAATATCGCTCAGAACTTACTCACTGTTTTCAATTAATTTGGTGTGTAAAAGTACAGCACTGTACCTGAGAAAACTCACCGCTGTCAAACATCGCTGTTCTGACCACAATTATAGTTACTCTAATTGCCTTTTACAGTCTGGTTTACAATATTTCAGTCTACACTGTCTAAGTCACTGTTCAATGTGGAAATATGCTGATACGTACTCTCGGATGCTGGGCAAAACTGCCCTGTGTTGGGACCAGAGGTGTAAAGCCGACAACATCTCGATCCAGGATTCAGCCAATCAATGAAATCGTCCACCCAAGAGGATGCTGGGATAGCTAGGTAGGATCTAGTGGAATCAAGGACATATTTAGAAATATCATTCAATCAATCAATCAATCAATCAACCTTTATTTTAACCTTAATTATTTAATCTCGGGGAACATTGAGGGTGCCCCTCATTTACAATGTTGCTCAGTTAATACAGAGAAGGGATTGATAATGTGTAAGAACATATCAAATAATAAAAGTCAATTTAATAAATGAAGATTCAGATCAGGTTAGTATAAAAAGTGAAACATTAATAATAAAAATACATATAAATATAATAAAAAATAATAAAACAGTAATTAAAACATACATAAAATGTAAAGGTTAATAAAATCAAATCAAATCAAAAGGAAGATAAGATAAAAAAAGACTAATAAACAAATTTATTAAAATGACAAATAATAATAAAATAATAATTAAAATAAGAACAAGAATATGAATAATAATGGATAAGATAACAAATAAATAATAAAATAATGAAAATAAGATAAAAATGGTAAAAAAAAATCAGGTAAAACAGTGTGAGGCAGAGTGGAGGTGGTTAGAGAGTAGAAGTTTAAAATGACTGAGCGACCCAGCGAGCTGAGCTTTAGTGTTTCCTGTAGTGAGGTCCAGCTCACTGGTGCACTGTAACTAAAAGCAGGTTTTCCCAGTTCAGTAAAAAGCCTTGGTACCTGGCACGTGATCCAGCCACTGGAGCGAGTCTGATAAATACCATTATTTACGGATATCATTGAAGTAATATATTCTGGCACATGGCCAGAGAGTGTTTTATGAATAAAAATAAACCAGTGTGTTTCCCGCCGTGTTGCTAGTGAGGGCCAACCAACTTTTTCATACAGTCTGCAGTGATGAGTGTTATAAGGGTCTCCAGTGATGAACCTCAGTGCAGAGTGATAGAGTCCAGCGGTTTGAGGGAGCTGGCAGATGCATGTTTGTAAATTACATCACCGTAGTCCATGACAGATAGTAAGGTTGCCTCAACAATTCTTTTTCTAGCATACACAGGGAAACAGGATATATTTCTATATAGAAAACTGAGCTTCTTTCTACATTTGCTAACCAATTTATTAATATGGGGTTTAAAAGTGAGTTTATCATCCAGCCATATGCCAAGGTATTTATACTCTGTGACTCTCTCGATGTTGGATCCTGTCAGGGTAGTGATATTTACAGAATTAAAATCAGGATTAGTAGATCTGGAAAATAGCATGAACTTAGTTTTTTTAGCATTTAAAACTAGTTTGTGTTTACGCAAAGCAACCTGTAGAGCATATATAGCAGGTCTTTAAGGTCAAACATGAAAAAAACAAGCTTCTTCTATTGTTACGCACTTGATATCATAGAAACCATTTTTGGTGCCATATAGAACCATTTTCTTTCCTAAAGAACACTTGAAGAACCATTATTAAGAGTGTATAAATTCTCTGGCCTAATCATTTTTAAAACGGCCGTCTTTAAAATCTCCTCTCTATGTGGTGCGCTCATTTTAAAGCATACAACAGTCACGTCAATTTCACTTTGGATGTTGGATACATAAAGTCTAAAATAAAATTCTAAAAAACATATTTAAATGGGGCCCTGCGATGGACTGGCGACCTGTCCAGGGTATCCTGCCTTCCGCCCAATGACAGCTGGGATAGGCTCCAGCAACCCCACCGCGACCCAGAAGGATAAGCGGTTTAGATGATGTATGTATGTATGTATGTATGTATGTATGTATATTTAAATGGGAAAAACTCTATGTGGTTGGGAAGAACAAGCAGACTGAATTCCAGTTACTGTATCTCTGTCTCTTCATAAAACGGCTGTTAAACATTAACTGCCATCAGTTGGTCAGACTGGGTTCATTGTGGCCTTTCGAATTGAACAAATCAGCAAAATTCAAGGACTGAGCACACAGGCCAGAAGAGAACAAGAAAAGAAATGCAAGTAGATCACATAAGCAAGTGAGGCAGAGTCTGATAGTATCTGGGGCTCACCACATAGCATCAAGTGCTCACTACATAGTATCTGGTGCACACTGGATTTTTATCTTCAAAAAAAAAAAAAATACACCACATCCCTTGAGTGGCTCTGTAATTCATAAACAATATACGCTGGAAACAAAATTAATATTTTCTATTCTTTTCTATATTATAAAATGTATATATGTGGGTTGCTTGTATTTAATATCAATCTTGCTCAACTATTTTTTAAAATATTTAAAAAAAAAATTATAATGTATTGGGCTCTGCCCCATACTCTTCTGCTTTCTTACAAAGGACGGTTCTTTAAGGGTTCTGGAGTAAAGGGAATGGTTAGAACCTTGTGTTCTATGTTTGCTCAAGGGTTCTTTAGTAAAAGGAATGGTTTAGAACCATGAGTTCTTTACAGAACCACTTCACCCATACATTCTTTGCATGGTAACATTCTGATTGATGGAGAATGTGTTGTATATGGTTCTGTATAGCAGATGGGGTTCCCCCATTGTTACAAGCTTGACATCATGTTAATAGAAGAACCCTTTTTGGTGCTATATAGAGCCATTTTCAAAAAGGTTCTACATAGAAACTAAAGAACTGCTGAAGAACAATCCTTTTTTAAGAGTCTTCTTATATTTATCAAATGAATTTATTTTTCATTTTTATTTCTTTGACTATTTTAATGTATATTAATATGTTCAGTGAATTCAGTAAAATAAATATATGTATTGAAAAGTTAGCAATCCGTTTGATCTGTCTTAGATCAAGTGTTTTTTTTTTAATGTTGTGGAATATTCTGAGCTTTTCACCTCCACGCTTTCCGTTACAGATAATGATAACAAGAATTAAAAGTGTTTTAAATGCAGTAATATACTTTGAATTCACTGTGGAAGCCCTGAAGACGTGGGTCTCGGGGACTCACCTTTCTGGGTATTCTGTAGCGTACTGGATCTTCTGCGTGAGGGAGAACTGGTCACAGCCCACACTGGAGCACACTGCGTTCATCCCGGTCACATCTGAGAAGTTGAAGCCTTTTGTTGTGACAAAGTATGTCGGCACTCCAACCTCAAAGTACTTGTTCAGGTATTCAAAGTATGTGAGCATATAGGAGTCCTGTGGATGTGGAGAAAAAGGGGTCAGTTTTAAAATGATTGTTATTATTACTATTATTATTATCACGACTACTTCTACTACTAGACTGTAGAAATAACTGTGGCTGTTTAGTCCAAGTTTCTATTGTTCCAATCATCACGACATTTTCACACAGTAAAAGTGGCAGCTGCTGTGTTTAAATTATGTAGAAAAAAAATCAACAGAAATGGAGATACAGGTTTTTCTTTGGACAGTGACGATATTTCACTGCTATCGTAACTTACGCTTAGAAAGTTCAGTGACTTTTAAGGCAACCAACTTTTTACGTTAAAACACAATCATGTCATAAGCGATGTTCTTGGAAACAACAGCAGATGTTCTTACAGAGATAATAATGATAATAACGCCTTTTTCCCAGTCATTTTGAGACAGTTCCTAACTCCGAAGCGGACATGGGAGTAAGCACCATGACAGCGTGTGAGTTGATGCTTAATCTTTGCCAAATTATCAAACTTAATAACAGCACAGATCAGTAAAAGATCAGCAATTGGATGTAGGCGCAAAGTACACTATATGGACAAAAGTATTGGGACACCTGCACATTATGCCTACAGGAGCTTTTTTTGACATCTCATTCTAAATCCATAGGCATTAATCTGGAGTTAGTCCCTTCTTTGCAGCTATAACAGCTTCCACTCTTCTGGGAAGCTTTCTACAAGATTTTGGAGAGTGTCTGTGGGAGTTTTTGCCCATTTATCCAGAAGAGCATTTGTGAGGTCAGACACTGATGTTGGACGAGAGGGTCTGGCTAGCAGTCTCCGTTCTAGTTCATCCCAAAGGTGTTTGATGGGGTTGAGGTCAGGGCTCTGTGAGGGCCAGTCAAGTTCTTCCACACCAAACTCACCCAGTCATGGAACAGAAAAGATTCTTCCCCAAACTGACCTCACAAAGTTGGAAGCATACAATTGCCCAAAATGTCTTGGTGCTGAAGCATTAAGATTTCACTTCAGAGGAACTAAGCGGGCCTCTGCCAACCCCTGAAAAACAGCCCCATAGCATTATCCCTCCTCCACCAAACTTTACAGTTGGCACAGTCCTGTCAGGCAGGTAATGTTCTCCTGGAATTTGCCAAACCCAGACTCGTCCATCAGACTGACAGATAGAAAAGTGTGATTGGTCACTCCACAGAATACACTTCCACTGCTCCAGAGTCTAGTAGCAGCGTGCTTTCAGCCGCTTCATGGCTGAGCTGTTGTTGCTCCTAGGTGCTTCCATTACAATAATAGCACTTACAGTTGACCGGGGGAGATCTAGCAGGACAGTTTCACAAATTGACTTGTGGCAGAGGTGGCATCCTATGACAGTGCCACGTTCAAAGTCACTGAGCTCTTCAGTACGATCCATTCTACTGCCAGTGTTTATCTATCTGTCTTTGTCTAGCAAAGCCATGTGCTTAATTTGATCCACCTGATAGCAATGGTTGTGGCTGAAACACCTGAACTCAGTAATTAGGATGGGTGTCCCAATACTTTGGTCCATATAGTGTAAGTAATAGCTTGATAAAGGGAAGATGCCAATCGCTTAAATATGGACGCTGGAGAAGTGTGTGCTTACGGTCGGCATGGCCAGCTCCTGATCCAAGCCCACCTTCACGTTGAACATGAGGTAGATGGAAGCACAGAACATGAAGAGAAACAGCACTATCTGCAGAGAGGAGACCAAAATTCAGTGTGCATTAAGTACATGGACAACATACAGGCGCATGTATGTAAAGGTTTTTTTTGCACTGGCCACATTTGACAATTTGTACTTGAACCTCACAGTCATTATTTCACTTCAAAGCCATTGTGTTGCAGTACAAAGACAAAATAAATAAATAAATTATATATATATATATATATATATATATATAAGAATATAAGATCAGGTACATACCACTACTATTCTGGAAACAGGGTGGAGCAGCACAGGTGCATAATACTTCTCCATAAGTGGGAGGAGGAAGCCCTTATTAGGTTTGGCAGGACGTTGGGTCTTCACTTTGAAGCAGCAGGATATCTCGCAGCGGTTATCGTCCTGCCGCCGAGCATCGAGGGACAAAAGAGCCACAAACGCCGTCATCTGCAGCACAAAGTCCATAAGGACAGCCAGGGCAGCGTAGAGTGCGAACGACTTCACCGCAGGCATGGTGCTGAGAGCGCCTGGAGGGACACACGCAGAGCATTGTTAGAGCAGTGGATTTGGAAATGCATATCAACCCTTCACTGCATCATGTTGCCATATGGAATCGATAATTTAATAATAATAATAGTAATAACGAGTGTGTTCAATATTTATACACAAAAGCTTCAAGAAAAACAGTGAAACACCATCTGTGGGAAGTTTTTTCATAAATAAAATCAGTTCAGATGTGATAGGTTTTATATAAAATTCCAAAATATAATTGTTGCCATATGGCAACAGCATTTGACAATGTAAATACAATCTGCAAAGCATACATTCTAATTATTTTCATATATCTCTCTGTATTCTTAAAACATACGAATATGGAAGCTATGCACATTTTTTCTCATATGTGGATGACGCAGACTGCAGTTCACTGTTGTTGCCATATGACTGCTGTCGTTTTTCACTTTTTCACTGCATCAATTAATGACTGAAAGCCCTTGACCTGCCAAATGAGGACAAGGTTGAGGTTGAGGCTAAGGTTGAGGTAAAAAATAGCGTGCAAGCCACTGTATTGAGAAACTACGCTGAGTATTGAGAAAGTATTGAGTATTGGAAAAGTGTGGGACTGTATCCCTTGCGAAGCCCTTGTTTGCACTTTGTTATCAGCTATAATGGCCACTAAAACAATACGCCTGGTTTATGGTGACATCCAAGCAGCAGGTACGTATCATATATCTGTGGGCTGAATAAAGCTGCTGCCTGATTTGGTTGTGGGCCAAATCACCACAGACTGGACGGTTTTGAAGGGGTTGTTTTCGACGTGTCTGACTGGAATGACTTACCCAAAAAGAAACAGACAGATTCAGACATGCTGCAGAGGAGCATGCTGGGAGCCACGCTGCCGAGAACTCGGCCAATCTGCTCCTCTCTCATTTCTCCAGGCTGCCGTACATCTCTCTGTGGGAGAGAGAGAGAGCGAGAGAGAGAGAGAGAGAGAGAGAGAGAGAGAGAGAGAGAGAGAGAGAGAGAGAGAGTATGGAAGAGTATGAATAGTATGAAAGAAAAAAGTTGATAGAACTGAACAAATCCATTCGAGCCTGTGTTCTTCTAGCTGTATTCTACTAACCAACATATTAATAACCTTACTGAAAAAGGTAAATCTTGTTATTATGAGTGAAAATAAGTTAACACACCCTCTACATTTTACGTGGAGTGTAAAAGTTATGGCACATTTTATGTTTTATCTTTTTCAAACTCAGCAAATAAATAGAAAATTGCCAAAAAACATCATCCAAGCAAGGGTTGTTCAAACTTGCATACGACTGTAGCGTAAACGTACACAAAGCCTCAGATGAACAGAACATAGACTCGAACAGATTAGAAGGTACCTGATACTCCAGGACAAAGATGAAAATGTTGTCAGCTCCAACAGCCAGGACGAGGAAGGGCACCACCTGCACAATGATCAGTGAGGAAGGGATTCCAACCCAGCCATAAAAACCCATAGATGCCAGGACTGAGCCGGTTACAACCAATATACCACCCAGCCCAACCAGAAACTTAGAGTCCACCTGAGTGTGAAAGAGAGAGAGACAGAGAGAGAGTTATAACAAGACAAACTGAAATATGACATTTCTCTAAAACTTTAGTGGACAGTTTCAATGTACTTGAAAATAAAATAATAAAATATTGTAATAAGAAATAATAATAATAAAAAATTAATAATTATTATATTATTTATATTATAAGTAGACATATTATATATTATAATATAAGTAAATGTATGCTATATGTGTATATCGCTGTTGTCGGAAGAAAACCTTGTATCTCCAAAATGGTAACTTTTCAGGAGAAGAAAAAAAACCTACTTTATTTAAGTCAGTGGAACCAGACGTTTTTCCAATTAATTAGGGGTCATTTCTTTTAGTCCATTCATTATGAAATGTATACACAATGTGGACAACGGATATTTTCAAATTATGTCAAAAACTGAAAAACATCAAAAATGGAGATACAAGGTTTTCTTCCGACAACAGCGATATATATATATATATATATATATATATATATATATATACATATATATATATATATATATATATATATATATACATACATACATACATCATCTAAACCGCTTATCCTTCTGGGTCGCGGTGGGGTGCTGGAGCCTATCCCAGCTGTCATTGGGCGGAAGGCAGGATACATATATATATATATATATGTATATATATATTTATATTAAATTGAGAAAATAAACAGTGAATGTGCATGATGATGTGCAGAAGCATGTTCTCTGAGAATGTGGGAACTTATTTTCAATTAATAAACCAACAAAACGTCATATTGGGGTGCTGAAACTTTTGTATTATGAAAAGTTTGATGTATTTTTACTTTGTGTTAGTGTGACTGAAATTGAGACTTCATAAAACTCTAAATGTGAGGTCTTATGTATATATTATGTTATATTAATGATGCTTTGACTGTAAATGAAGACTGCACTTCTGTGGAACATCAAACCAATAAAAGACCTGATAAAAGTCCACTCTGTAACATTTCCAGAATCCCGTCACGTTTCTGCTTCTGGTGAGCATTTATAAGGGCGGTTGTTATGATAAATCAATGTTACTCATGTAGATAAGCACTTATAAACTGATAATAGTAATCTCACTAGTCATGATAAGAGGTTTCGGTGCTGTACTTCCTGCAGGCTGCACTGAACGGTTTCTGCTAGCAGTATGGATCTCTTTGTGGTCTAGACTGAGGGATTTTCCACTAAGGAAAATCAGGAATTCCCAGCATGCCCTACCAGTGATGAAAGAAATTATTGCATTTTATGTTATGAAAGCCAAGAGCAGCCCCCAGCCCTGTCCTTCAACTTCAAATCCTGAGGATTTACATCCATGAGAAACTAAAGACTCACTAGGATGCGTTTGAAGGACGAATATTCTCCCAGAGCCACGGCAATGTACACGAAGATGACTGCATAGCTGATCATAAAGATGGGAAAGTCTTCTATTGTAGTTCTGTTGATTTCATCTTCTAAAGACCTCTGTGGAGCAGAAAGCAAGCAGAAACAACAAAATGTATAAGGTAGCTGTACATGAAGATGGTTAAGGATTATTCATGTGTATATAAATATTTACAGTACATACTATAAGACACATATATGTATATGGGTTCATCACTGCTTTGCATAAAATAAAACAAGATATATATTTAAAATGAATGTAATCTTATATATTATATCATATATTATAATAAACTGCTAACATTCTACAGTTTTGATTATGACCTGCAGATGACCCCATAGTAACTGAGAAAGCTATATAGCTGAGATTGAGCTTTCAATAAAATTAATATCCATAACATATTTAAAAAACGGTCAGCGAGTGTTGCTGTAACTACAGACATGATATTACTGTGAATTGATAATTACAATTTATTATTTAACAACAGTGACTATTTTGTTGCAACATTACAAAATAGTCACCTTTTACAAAATAATGTACAAGTCTAACTTATTTCAATCTACACTACATGAGCTACTATTGAATAGCGATTATTAATATAAAAGGGGATTCCAAATATTCGAATGGTAGTTTGTATACATATGTTTATAAAACAATCAGTCCAGCACTGCATATTGAAAATGTATTGTAGCGTGTTTAGGAAATGTTTCTCCTCTTAGTTTTGGGGTTGTTGCTGTACAGCATTTATTCGCCGCTGGGTTTTTCTACAGAGACTCTTATTGTATTATAAGGCTGGTTGTGTGTTTATGTTTTGGGGGACAGAGAGAACATGGGGGAAGAGGCGGCAGAGCTTAGGTTCAGAGGCAGATGGAAGTTTGGTTCAGAGGCAGATGGAAGTTTGGGTTAGAGTCAAACACAAGGCCTGCGGGCCAAGTCAGGCCCGTGACACAGTCCTATTCCCATAAAATCATTTTAATGTTCTATTCTTATTAGCCTGTTTCACCCTGAGATGCACTACAGTCCCCAGCATGCCCTGCAACATAGTGTGCGTTCTGACCCCCTTCCCCAACAACAATCTATGGGCCAGCGGTTACACAAAAACAAAAAAGATGTCTGGTGTCTAGTTCAAGCAAATAGGCAGTTTTAAAAAAATACCTAAAACAATTTCTTTTTATTTAGAATTATTTTGGAGTAAGTATTCAATGCCAGTTTAGCTGTTGCAGTTTTGGCATATTTTGAATTAACAATGGCCAGTTCAGGTCAGTTCAGTTCAGGTCATGGCAAAATGTTAAGTAAAACAAAGCTGGCCCATGGATTTGCTGAGATTTTTAAATATGGCCCTTTTAGTGGTTGAGTTTGACACCCCTGCGTTGGAGGGAACTGTTAGAGAAAAGTTCTGTTTATGTGCAACCTGGCTGGGGCCAACTTCAGCCTATTAATAAGGCAAAACTTGCATAAGCCATGTCTTCTTTTGCAGTGGTAAATGCTGCAGTGTGTAATATTTATGTTTTTTCGACCTTATAGGTTTACAGATTTGCCAGTTTAACTCACTTCAGCCATATAGGCGAATGTGAAGTTTGTGCTGGGGTCTTTCTGGTATGCCTGAACGATCTCCAGAAACATGGCTTCCCATTGTTCCACCACTTTAAACTTTGGGTCGTCTCGTGGATAATTATTCAGAGAAAAGGTGAGGATGAAGGCCTCAGCGGTGGTGTAGTCTTCATCTGGAATCAAATTAAAGCAAATTAGTTACCTTTTTAGGCACTGTAACTATAACTGTGACCATGTGTCTGCGTGTCTGTCTTACTATCATATCCCCCAACAGCCAAGAAGGGAAAGACTGGTCCTCCGTAGTCAGCCATACAGCTCAAGTTGAGTGCAGTGATGTCTTTGAAGGATAATGGAGAGCTGCACAGAAGCAAAAATGAGCAGAGAAATGAAAGGTGGTCAGGACAGCAGTGCTTCAGTGGCCATCTAAGAATGTCTAAGAATGGGCTCATTGGTAGCCCTGGTAATGAGACTTACTTTACGCAGTAGATAAAATGATCCTTCCAGTCAACTTCTTTTGTTACCCCAAGCTGGGTCATGTTAGCCCTTAAATTCAAGTTCTTGACGCTGTTCTGGAAGTACTGAGGTAGACTGTTGACGGCGCAGTCAGTCAAAGAGGGGTTGTCCGGGTTGAGTGGAGCATAGCAGACATCCTTAAGGGTAGCTGTTTTATTAAGTTCATCTGACCAGAATTCAATATCTTGGATTCTCTGCTGAAGCTCCAACAGCTGCAAGATCAGGTCTGCAGAAGAGCAAAACTTCCGGAATGAGTAGAGCCTTAAGTTTGTCTAGACATCCTTAATAAAAACTGGCTCAAATACCCACAATATCAATTTTACACCAGACATAGTGACACAGCCAAGACATATTTGGGGTTCAAATTTTGGTTTAGCACTGGAGCTGTGAGGCTAATGTTGTTAACCAACCCTAGAGGTCAATAGTCACCCAAATCTTTTCTGTAAATACGCCCCCAAACTTCTCTCAACCTAATCAAACTGTATCCAGGTCTTCATTAAGGTTGTGCAGACTTGTCGATGTGATTAAGAGCAGAGTGTGACCTACTGTGAGCTATAAAAAAGAACAAATGAACAAATACACCATAAAATGTCATGGATAAAATTTATCCATTTTAGACAATAGTGCCAAATTCTGAGTTCCATTCAGAAGCACGCATGCCACACAGGAATATGTACTCTAGTATGCATTCACAGTTTTTGTTGTTTTCATTTGTAAATATATGTTCAGTTTTAAAATTCAAGATAACAATAAAGATAACAGAAATCACAAATGTAATCTGTAAAATTTGGCACAGCACCCTGTTGTGTTCAGTTACACAGTGAACCTTTGGTCATGTTTACAGCTCTCAGTCAGTCTTAATGTGCTCTAAACCACAGAGACAAGTCTGCTAGACCTGAGCAAGTTAAGAAAAGTTTAGGGCATGCATTATGTAAAAGATTTAGGTGACTATTGACATTCAGTCTTAGTTAGCAATGTTAGACTCCTAGCTCTATCACTAACATAAGGAAGCATCAGACACCAAACATGTCTTGGCTGATCAACTACATCTGGGGTTGGAAAATTATGGAAATTAGTTTTTAGCACAAAACATTCCTTCAAATTTGACGATTCCTTAGCATCATTGTTATATAACAGTATTATAACAGTATTCACTGACTAATCTGAACAATACATCCTAAGATCACTAACTGCGTAAGTAGCCATGTGTTTAAGGATATGGTGCTTAGTGGTTCTTCAGCTAGGCTTACATCAAGGTCTGAACTGGTTCTTAAAACAAAAAAGACTGATTTCCTGAGACTAGGACAAAAAAAGTTAAGGTGATTAGCCAAAACATCTTTAAGCATGATGCCCACTCATTTAGGTAAAACTGAATAACTACTAACCCTTAGAGATGAGGCCGCTGAAGTTTGTAGTGCCAAAGAGCAAGGAGTCGTAGATATAGCTAGGCCTGCCGGGAGCAGTCAGAATCAGCTGATTGGTACGGAAAAAGGGTGCAAAATTCTCATCATGGAAGTCCTTTTCACGCCTGGCACGGCTGTTGGGAGCTGACCAGAGTTGAACAGGATCTGTGGTCAGTTGCATGTTCTTCAGCCCAGTTGTAAATGCTGCTACAACAAACAGGGAAGCAAAGATCACCTTCAAAGGGTGTCTCGCCATTACAGTTCCCCAGCTCTGGAAAAGCGAACCCAGGAACTCTTGAGTGACCAGACTTGCTCGGTCAGTGCATGTGATATCTTTGGGATCCACTGTCTGGTTGGGGTCTACCTCGTTTGCATTTTTGTCCTTGCGGCTTCTGGATTTTTTCCCTTTGCAGCAATTGAAATTGTACCTGACCACAAGGCAAATGAGGAAGAGGAGGCACAGGATGGCAAAGAGAATGAGGGAGATGGCGAGCATCCCATCCATATTGCCAATCATAAAGGGTTCGGGTAAAGGGCCTGGTGGAGGAACTTGAGGGCAGGACTCTTGACAGTCCTGGCAGGTGCACTCTTCTCCTCCAGTGGGGGTTGTCTCGTTGCAACCCAGAGCGATCCCCGCATAGGGAACCATACCTTCTGGAACTGCTGCGTTGTGCTCTGGTGGAATGAGTCTGAAGTCGATGTCAAGTGGAGCCAAACCATTGCTGGAGTCACCCTGGAAGTCTAACCAGCGTTGAGGAGTACACAGCGTGGAGCCATATCGACCACACATTGTACCAATGGCGTACCCTCCAGTTGCCGGGATTCTCACATTCTTGCAGGAGTTGAAGGAGGCATCGGAGAAGGTCGTAGAAACGTAGGCTTGGTAGCCGACCACAGCCTCTTTGTCTGTTCCCGAAATATTGACGGGGATAGTTCTGGTGATGTTGATGGTCTGGCTCTGGTTGGGACTGCAGGTGGTGATGCAGTGAATGTGGGCAAAATTGTAAGCGCAGGATGGGCATCGGAGCAGTATAGCTTTGGACAGCGACACGCTGCTCTGCAGGGAGATGAGCTGCTGTAGAGAGCAGCAGGCAAACGTTTGGCCCTCACCCTGGTCCAGCATGGGGCAAACCTCCCTCAGAAGTTCATAATGTGCCCCCACTACTTCCCTCGCTGGTCCAGGGTTTTTGCAGGGTACGTTTGAATTGAGCAAGGATCCTGACACGGTGGGATTCTTTCCACATTCGTCATACATCGAACAGAAACCAGCTTCATGCTGAGCTTCAGAAAACATCTGTAATGGTGGAGAGATGAGCATGAGCAACAACAGGACTCGAAAGAACTTCATGTTGTAGCATTAGATAACAGAATAGAATAGAATTTGGGAGGGGACGTTGTGGATTGGGAAGCCTAATGTTTACTTCAAGTCTTACTAGAACTCTATCCCAAAATGTATTTTTGGGATTTTGTATTTGAAATGAAATATTAATAAAATCTATTTAGTTTCAGACAAGTGTACAAAGTCATTCTGGTAGGAACCTCTAAATAAAAAAATATAATGATGCCATCAAAACAAAACCAATATCTCCATAATTACAACTTTACAAGAGACGTAATGTAATGTAAAGATTTTTTGCAAGTTATTTGGACTAATTCTATTGGTTTGTTCATCTCAATATTTTTTGTTTTAATTCTTTCCACATTTTATAAGTTTTGATTGTTCGAAAGTGAGAGACCACCCTTCACTTATTTCATTTCCAGTCAAAACAGCCATTAAGCATACGTTATTCATTTTTCAGCATCAGGAAAAAGGAGGAAACATAGTTAACAGGAAATAACCCACAGGTCTCAACAGCTAAAGGCAATATTAATTTTTCAGTACTTCGTGTGTCCGTTTGCCTTTATTACAGCTTCCATTCTTTTCTCAAGCCTCGCTTTGATTTTCTCAAAGAAATCTGCAGGAATGTTTTTCCACACCTCCGAAGTTCAGTCATAGATTTTCTGCTTTTCAATGTCCAGATAATTCCAAACAGATTCAGATGTTGATGTGTCCGTCTCCTTTTCTCAGTGAGGTTCTTCTTGAACAGCTACACGTCCTTTCAGACCCATAGTGCTGAGTTGTCTTCTCACAGTGGAAGGATGGACAGAAACACCTGTGGATGTTTTCAGATCTGAAGCAGCTTGATTTTCTCCTCTCTCTCAAAGATGAAAGCTTTAAGTGCTGTTTATCTGATGGGGACAGATTTGGAGTCCCATTTTCTCTGTAGCTTTTAATCATTTTTTGAACTCCCGTTTTGGAAACTCCTTCTTTTCACTTATTTTCCTTTGATTTTCCCTTCCTTATACAAGTGGATTATGGATTATTATGTTATAGCAAATTATTTAGTTCTTGAAATCTGTGTGCAAATGTTTTGCACTTTTTTGACGCTGGAAAATGAACGGCTTGTACTAAATGGATGTTTTGACTAGAAATGTTAAAAACGAATGGCGGTCTCTGACTTTTGCACAGTACCGTATATAAAATAATAAAAATCAGTGTCAACTCAGGTGTCATCCTCATTTTCATCATCAGTTTTGCTGTAGACTTTGTCATGAGTGTGAGAATGATGCAGCCATGCAGCAATAAACTGCAATAATGGAACTCCAGTGGTAGATATTACTGTGCAAGCTATGCAATTTTATGTCTACAAACTTTTCAAAATACATAATCTTATCTCATTGTTCTTATATTTTGGTTAATATTGCATTTCGTATAACCAGATAACAACTGCTATCAACCAAATCTGTGCATACAGTGGCGGCTATTTGTTTATATGAAATGCAATTTCAATAAAAAATTGTATTATTAATTGTATTATTAATATATTTAAATATGTTTTAATTTAGACTTACCAGACATGCAGCAATTGTAAGCAGTATGACGCTGCTGTCCCATCTCTTTCTTTTGTGCATGCCCATTGTGCCGTTTGATGTCGGGCAGGAACAGAAATTGGAGTGTTATATCCAGAGGAGATGCAGATAGAAGAGGGGACAGGACACTAAGGGGTGGACAGATGCCCACTGTCTATCCCAGTCTACCCCAAATACGTGACGAGTAAGGAATGAAGAAGGTGAAACCTTCCACCCCACCTCAGCGGACGTCACATCGACGATGAACTGCTTCTTATCTGGCCTGATGTCCGCAGTGCCAATCACGAAGGACAAAACCTAATACAGTCCACTGATGATTAACTCGGGGGAGGACACGACTCGACGTTATTTATCAGAAACATGGAAACGGGTGCAAAAAAACATATCCCCTGTTCAGAGGAACTCCCTATCCCTCCCTAAGGCCCTCTTCCTCGATCCCACTCAACCGAGACTTGGGCATCTATGTTTGTTTGTGTATTTGGGTAAATATGAAAGTAATAGTCCAACACCGAAACTCAAGACTGAAACTCGGCGTGATACTCACAGCCAGAAAAAAATGTCTCTTCTGGCTGGATACACTGTCTGTGTGTTAATAATTTTACTCTCTCCTTCTCTTTCTGCTGCTTAATACTTCATTCTATATTGTAAACTAGTTGACTTTACTTTAAAAAATCATGCAAACTTAATGCCTCAAAAAGTCAAGCAAAGTTGCTTAACAGGTTTAAGCTTAAATAACTGCATATTTAGATGAGTTATTGTTACTATGTAATTTTCAGTGATGCTAATTACTGCAGCAAGCAGTGTAAACCCAAATGGCCCAATAATTGTAAACAGTTTCAGTCGAGCTGTTAGGTTAACTTTAATAAACTTAGCTACCCCAAACGTCACCTTACTCAGTAAAACTGTTCTAACTCAGGGGTCGGCAACATGCGGCTCTTTTACTGCGCTGTTGTGGCTCCACAGCAGAATTAGATTTGTAGGCAAAAATAAAATAATCCTCCTTTGCAGTAAAATATAGCTCTGCTGATCGTTCAACACAGTTTAAACAATAAATAGTCTTAAACGCTGGAATTAATGTATATCTGCTAAGTCATCAAACTTTAACCCTAAAGATCGGCGCGCAGACTGCTGGTCACCATGGCAGCGTAGCAACAATCTCGCTTAGATAGTAGCTAACAAAAAGGCAAAGAGAAAGATTTAAGACCAACATCGATCATTTGGAGATAAATGGACTTATTTACATTTATAATCACTCCAGCTGGTTTCCTGATACATTTAATGTGCAACAAGAAACACTGTCGCGAAGCTGAAGTCAACTTCTTATTCGAATTTTCTAGTTCCATCTTAAATGGTGCCAGAATGCATTTAAGATGTAATGGGAAAATTAGAACAAGAAGCTGGAGAACGAGAAACTGACTTTGTAAAAAATCGAACATTGAGAGACATTTTACAAAAACTATTCTACTTTTTGTGGAAAAGTTTCCTGCCGGAGATGCGAGAAAAGCTGCTGTAGCTGAGTTAAAGCTTCAAGCAGAGCAAAGTCAGTCTGCATTTTCGTTTATATTTTTTTATCTTAGTACATTAGCACATACTGAGACATATTCGCAGCCAAGATAAATAAAATAAAATATTGTGGGATAAAATGTTGTGGCTCCCAAGATGGTTTGATTTTTGTTGAAAAGACAAAATGGCTCGTCTTAACATTTGGCTTGCTGACCCCTGTGCCAACTTATTGCCTTAACCTTCACACAAAACATTGTCGGTGAGAATAACATGTACGGTGAACACGTTGAGAATAACATGCAAAACATGTAAAATGCATCCAAACTTGACGATTAGCATGAGAATATGCTAGAACACAAAAATAAAATCACTATGTGAAGAGAATGATGAAAACTTTTAAAGAGTTAGGCCTAATTAAGCAAAACCAGCAAAACCGCTAAGAATGCTGGGAAGCTGTATGGGCAAAAGATACTTCAATCTCTTCAGTCAGGCCAAAACTATTGCGTCATCTGATGTAAACATGCTTACTCACCTACACTCACCCACCGTGGTGCCATAACAGTCTCTAGAATGGGATTTTCCAGTTTAAAGACCATGGAAACCCCCTTCTGATGATGTATCTTGAAGGTGGGAGGAACTTTTGAGTATCTTTGGTGGATATTAGAGGTATATTTACTTGCTAAAGCCAAATAAATTCAGCTAACATTTCCACTAGGAAGCTAAATATAACCTCTATATTTATTAACCGCTACATCAGTGGCCATGCTAGCAGTCAGGATTTCTTATCACAGTGGGGGGGGGAGAGGGGGCTTTCCAAAAATGTATGATGTATTTGCATAATGCATGCTGGATACTATAGTGAGAGCATGTAAATGAAAAGGATACCAGTGTGGCTGATGGATGCAATGCTGTACTACAGATTACAGCATAACATGACAAACGACATATTAAATGCTGGTTTTAGGCCTAAATTTAGCCACTTTATTCTCAGTACTACTTACACAATTTGTGACCAAACTAAGTTTAGAAGTCATTAAATCAGCTCCTAATATATTACCAATTCAATACTAATACTCCTGCAAAATGATGGTGGCATGTTATGTTCAAATTAACAGTTTTTAGAACATTAACATGAACATAAGCTACACTGTATTGCCCTCCTAATTCCTCAGGTGTGTCAGCCACACCGAGTGCTAGCAGGAGTATAAAATCAAGCACACAGCCAGGTAAACAATAATAAACAACCACTGGCAGTAGAATGAGTAACTGAAGAGGTCAGTGATTTTAAACGTGACAAAGTTATAGGATGTCACTTCTGCCACAGGTCAGTTTGTGAAATTGTGCGCTGCTAGATCTGCCCCAGACAACTGTAAGTGCTACTATTGTGAAATTGAAGTGTCTAGAAGCAACAACAGCCAAGCCATGAAGCAGTAGACCATGTAAACTCAGAGAGTAGAGATGCTGAGTGCTGAAGCACATAGCACATAGAAATTGCTTATCCTTTGCTGCATCACTCACTACAGAGTTCCAACCTGCTTCTGTAAGCAACATTAGCAGAAGAGCTGTGCATTGGTAGTTTCATGAAACTTGAGTGGTGAAAAGCAGGCCGCCACTGAATTCTGCTGCAGTGGAAGTGTTTTCTCTGAAGGGATGAATCAAGCTTTACTGTCTGGCAGTCTGATGGACAAATGTGGGTTTGGTGTTTGCCAGGTTGCATAGAGCCAACAGTAAAGTTTGGTGGAGGAGGGATAATGGTCTGGAGCTGTTTTTCAGGGTTTGAGAACCCTAAATTCCGGTGAAGGGTGATGTTAACACCACAGCATACAAAGACATTTTAGACATTGAAATGCCTCCAACTTTGTGGGAACAGTTTGGGGAAGACCCTTTCCTGTTCCAGTATGACTGAGCCCCTGTGCACAAAGTGAGCTCCATAAACACATGGTTTGATGAGTTTGATGTGGAGGAACTTCAGTGGCCTGACCTCAACCCCACTGAACACCTTTGGGACTAAGTGGAATGTTGATTGTGAGCCAGGCCTTCTCATCCAACATCAGTGCCTGACTTCACAAATGCTCTTTTGACTGAATGGGCACAAATTTCCTCAGAATCCAAAATCTTGTGGAAAATCTTCCCAGAAAAGTGGGGGCTGTTGTAGCCACAACAGGGGAGCCAACTCCATATTAACACCCACAGGTTTGGAATGGGATGTTAATCAAGCTCATACAGGTGTGTTGGTCAGGAGTCCACATGACTCAAAAAGAAGAACCATTCCAGGTCTCAACATCACTGAATGTGTTTGGGATTACTTGCATCATGAGAAGCAGTAAATGGAACCAACTTCTAAGACTGAACTTTATAGGCTTGGAAAAAATTCCTACAGGTTTTTTAAAAAACTGAAAGAAAATGTCCACCTGTCCTCCTTTTTGCCAGAGTTACCAAGTCCATTCATAAACATGTTTTTTCCATCGCACGCAATCGTTGTGACTCGGCACCTGGTGTAATTGGTTTGTTGTAATTAATTTATTACACCGCACCCAGACCAAACCAGACACAGTTCTGGACACTCTTGCACTTTCTGCTGCTGTGACTAAAACCTCAACGCTATCATTTTTCAACACACCACTCTTGATATCAAATACTAATGAGATTAGACTCATCATCAGACGCTAACCTACATTAAAGTGCATTTGATATGGGAATTCTGACAATTGCTGCTTGAAGAAATTATCAAAGATCTTATCGATCAAGGACACTTCTTGGTTGAGGGAACCTTAGACTATTACCTTTTGCCAAGTGCTTACTGACACTGTGCAGAATAGGGCAAAGAGGACTGAGCATTAACCGTATGGCTGAGAATAATAGACCAGTAATGGAACCGTAAAACACAGGAGAAACACTGCATTTTTAAGCCTATTTATTTTAGATTTTATTCACTTCTCCAGATCGCAGCAGTTACATTGCACCAAAGGCGCCCCCCAAACAAAAATCACACAGAAGCCTCAACAACTAAATATAATATTCATTTTTCTGTACTTAATGTGTCCACGCTTTACCTTTGTGACAGCTTCCGTTCTTTTCAGGAGACTCACTTTCTCAAAGAAATCTACAGGGATATTTTTTCACACCTCCAAAATTCAGTCTTAGAAGTTGGTTGCATTTGCAACCTTTTTGCAATCCAAGTAATCCAAACACATTCAATGAGTGCCTTTACATGCACTCAATAATCCAATCATAATCAGATTTCTGCAGTTATCTGATTATTCAAATAGTCATGTAAACAGCACAATTAGATTTCTTAGATTGGAGCAAGGCCTAGAAATCCGATAGAGAGAGCTGGATTTTAGCTCAGTAATCAGATTTCTCAGTGCATGTAAACTCTTACTCTGATTTCTTTCAGATTTCTCAGTCTGCGCATGTGCGAAAACAAACGGCGGTACCAGAAATAAGCGAGAAGCTGAAACCAAATACATGCTTGATGAAATGAAGGATTGAACTATTCTTCATCTTCGAGATGATGGATGGTCATATTTTCAGGTAAAGTGGCACAACGTTTTTTAAAAAAAGCCGTGACGTGAAGTTTGAGTTTATGGTTACGTCTAGTTTATTGGCCAGTTGCAAAGCAGAAATCTGATCACCGTCTGACTCATGTAGACCCAGACTTTTCAAATGATCTGATTTTTCAACTGCATGTAAACATGTTGATTGGATTGCTGACAACATCTGATTTTC